TCTTTGTATCAAAATAGACATAACTTGGGAATAGAGTATGCAAATTATGTGAAATTTTCAGTTACTAGTCAATGACATGTGCTTCATCCCTAGATGTTATTTTTATGAAGTGGAGCAAGCCACACATTACTACAAACATTTCGATCTAATTTTTTCTTATTTGGTCACTTTCTTTTTGACTCACACTGTACTGCTATAAGTCCACATTACAACAGATATTGTACATTTATGCTCACATGCAAACCTAGGCAGGCCCCAGGACAAATTAACGGCAGTTTCTGAGATTGATTCTGCAACAAGACACTTGCTACTGACTTAGAAGGAATTTCAGAGATGTTTAGGCATGCAGCATGCAAAACTGGGCAAAAGATTTCCTTGGTTTCTCGACTGACCAAAACGGATTGGATTGAAAATTACACTCACTTTATCTGCACTTTGTGTAGCAATTGAACTAGACCAACCATTTTGTCTCGCAAACAAAATTGAGTGCTCCTGCAGGATTTGAAAATGGAACACTGCCATAATTTAGAATCAAGATGACTGCGTATCAGAAGGATTGACACAGTTGTTTTTGGCTCAGTGAATTGCAAGTTTAAGTTAGTCAAATGAAAGAGCAGAATAAGGCTCTTTCAAAGTATGCATTTTGTCAGAAATCATTCAATCAGCAAAACTGCCATTCACTTTAAGATTTATCCTGGGACCCGCCCCTTACAACCTATAAGACAAGACCGACCTTTCACTTTAGAAACACTTAAAAGAGGAATGACAAAAAAGTACTAATTTGACAGGCTAAACCTATCTTTCTTGGGACAATGCTATAAAATGTATCCCTCTTGCAGTTGCATAGAACCCTGTGTACCTACATGTACATAAACTGAAATTCAACCCAATTGACGTCAACACAATTAATAAGTCCTAGTTATTTTAGATCTCTCTGAGTATACCCCAGTAAAGGTTAATGGGTATAAATTTAGGAACACTGTAAAAATGCATGCTTGCAAAAATATTCCATGGGAAAAAGGAAATATTCCTGTCCCAGTTGGCTATCAAGTTAAATTAGTTTGACTCACTTGTACATGTAGTTTATAGAACAAACCCTACCGAGACAAAAAAAACAGCTTGTTTTTTCCTAGTGGGCTGACTATATTTCTATAAATTATTCAACTGACTTGAACCTTAATGTTATTTTCTGGCTAAGAAAATGGCTAAGTTTTTTTATTTTATTATACTGAGCTGTCCTGAGTTGTCTGTTTAAGAGTATATTTACTCCTTAATTCAGTCATTTCAAAGGCGTCTACTGAACATTATGTGAAGTGTTCAACGTTTTTATTTTTTAGTAATTAGGTTTATGTACCTGCATTTGTAATTTGGTTCAATTTATTTTATTTTCCAGATTTTGACCCTACGTACAAATTTGTATAATTTATTTATCACATCATGTTTAATTCACTGTTCACTGCATTAATCTTCTCAGAGATGGTCTTTAGCTATATTTACATGAAATGCAATGAATTATTACATATGACAGGGAAAATATGATGCTACACGCTCTGCTCAATTTTAAAAATAATTCATTCTAACTCTGTGACGTATTTATTTGCTGCAATATTGAATTAAAGAGGTTTGCTGAAGTTTGCCTTTAACAGAATTGTTAATATGACCTTTTAGCTTTTTGATAATAACAAATGATAATACTAAGAGTAGTTTGATCAATTCTAAAGAGACTGAAGAAACTGAAGAGATTGCATATTTGCTTAGAAACCTGCCCTACATTTGTATGCTCGTGCAGCCCTCTTAGTACTAAACGAAATCTAAACTTGACCTGAACAATGACTTGAAAAACCTTTGACTTTTCTTTTTAACCCTTTAGTGACCTTGGCCACAAGAGAACTGAATTGCCTGTGACAAAGAATGACCAGCATTTTCTGATTTTTTTAATCGCTGATTAGCTATTTTAGTATTCGAAAAAAAAAAATCACATTTCACAATATTTGCCTTGAGTAAGAACTGCATTTTCAACAGGATTTTAGTTGGTTTAGTATTCGAATAAGTCCCAATTCATAATACCAGCCTAGTCTTCTTCAGTCTGGAAAATGCACTTGGAGAAGTAGCGTTGTACACAATAGAGGTGTGGTCACTAAAGGGTTAAAGCATGGAGCATAGCTAGTCTTCAGTCTGTGGCAATACCAACATGTGTCCTGAAAGATCTTCACCTTATTTGACAAATGGCGCCCTACCGTTACGCCCCAAAGACTATATTTCTAGCATTTTAGTTTTGGTCAAGTTAAAATTAGATTCAAGTGTGTCAGTTTGATGCAAAGTGCGATATCACTTTGCACTTTTATTTTGGCAAAGTAATGAGATAGTGAGAAATAAATTTAAGTCCTCTGCTAGTGAGACAAGATAAATTAATTTCAATGTCAGATTGGTTTCAGCAACCTTTTCAAAGTTTCACAATTTTGAGTGTTTGTTTCTTGGCGAGTGGCACCAATTTGGTCTAACTCGGAGCAGACCAACTTCATGGTAGGTTCTGTAAAATCTACTCAATGTTTGACTTCTTTGCAGGAAGATTTACAATTGTCAGATATCAGACTTGTATTCAATTGCTGCTCTCTGATGAGATGTTGAACACAAACAACTTACACGGATAGTTTTTCAAGTACATGTTCTAGTACGGATACACTTAGAGTATTGATAACTTTCTTCTGAATGGAAGTGTACAACACTGAATTTTCTTTTCTGAGGTAGCGTGCAAAGGTGCAAACTGGCCAATAAGACAAAATACAACTGAGTATTTCAAAGTTTTGATCTAAAGTCAAAGCTAAGGTGAAGATCTTCCAGGACTCTCAAAGACATTCAAAGTTAAATGTCTTCTTCTTAGTTTTTAAAATCAATTGAATAACGAATACTAACAGGTGGACACAATGGCACGGCCTTTGTTTTAACGTCTAGTATCTCACTTAAAAAATGCATTCTGACAGAGAATGAGAATAAAACAATTTCAGTTTTGCACTGAAAGGGGTTGTGCAACTGAAAAGAGCTTTTGCTTCAAGGCTTTTCAGCTGAATCTGTGTCACTCGCGAAGATGGAACTGCTTTTATTGCAAGCCTAGATTTCCAAGGCTTTTTTGAAAGTGTACGTTAATTTCCAATTGCTCAAGAGCACACTTTGATATGGCTCTCGATCACCGCAGACAAGTGAGCAGCTCAGATCACAAAGTCGTGATCACAAAAAGGTCCTCTTAAACAGACCTGGCAGGGGATTTCCCCATGCAACCACCTATCAGGTGGGTGATGAATCTACGGGAGGCTGCAGTGATTGCTCAAGCCCAAGGTTTTATCCAATCATAGGATTGGAGTGCAGAGGTCACAACATTTGACCATGAGTTGATTAGCAGCACTTTGAGTGCTTGCAGTGAGTGTCGAGTCCAGAAAGTTTGCTGAGATTGGTTGAGATGATTGCACACCAATACACTGGTTGCATCTCTGTATGATTGTAGGACTCAATGGACACTCATAAGGAGAGTATTGACATCTCTTCGGCAATATCAAAAGTTTATGAGGACTGATCAGTTCCTAGAATTGTCATGTCAAAGCCTTCGTCCAACTTTGACTACAGATGACAAAAAGCTAACATTTTGTTTCTCTTACTTTATTTTTTCAAGCGCCAGATTGAGGCTAATTGGTATTGCCACAGACTGAAGACTATAATGCACAATACTGTTTTCCTGTAATGCAGACAGATAGCGTTTACTCCTAGCCATGAGATACACATTTTACTGTTGGGTTTAGCAAGCAATGAGGATGTACACAGTGCATGAATTCATTCTACAAACTTCAATTAAACTTACCATGGATCCATCTGGCAGGACTGGCTCCCTGTGTCTGACACCACAGCTTCTATTTGTTAGGATGCAGGGGGCTTTTTTTGTCCACCACATCTTCCATCTGGCCAGGAAGCAGCATGGTTCTCCCCCTCTGCACACCAGGACTTCTCCCCTACAATTGGAAGAGTTTGGCCTTCTCTCCTTTTTTCTCAATTTTTTTTTAAAATTTTCTCTCCATTGTTTTTTTTTTTTTTTGGTAGTGCAGTTCTGAGGATAAATATGATGGCAATAGCCCATTCTTTGCTTTTCGAATTTTATAATGAGAATTTGTTTCCTTTGGGTTTTTATAGGAGCATTTGAAGTTTTAAAAGTCTCTTTAAAGTTGCTTTGAGATCTAGATTTTTTTCTTTTTCATTTTTTCTCTTTTTTTTACGACACCATAATTTAGCATTTTGAAAATTTGAGGCAGGGAAGCTGCCTTTTTTTCAATTTGGGAATTTTGTATATCACTTGCTTATGTTTATCAAGTTAAGATTCGTATGCTGCCAAAAACACAAGTATTATTTGCAAACTTATTTTTTAAAGTGATACATCAGATGCTGAATTTAGAGCAGATATGATTCAGTTAATTTTAACGGATTTCCTTTTTGATATTTCCTTATTTTTATCCGTGCATGTCTAAGATTTGAACACACTCTATGAGAGAACTGATTGTACATGATGACACAATAAAAGGCAATGAGATTTCAGAGTTATACCACGAAAGTTATTCACATAAATAGCGGCTGAAACACCTGTCCGAAAATCAAACCGCATTGAAGAACATCAGATATACCAGCAACAGTACCCATTTGTTAGCAGATCATTTGGATCAACATGATGCCATGGAACTATTGAAATGCAAGCAGGACATCAAGAGTAGATGCTCGATTGATCTCTAGATTTGCAATCTCCAGATTGATAGATGGTACATAATTTCCACAGCAACACTCGGTAAAGAAATAGCCAAAAAGACATCTCCTTTGCAGAAAGGCAAACTAATTGTCAAAGTTCAAAAGGATCCTTACCATGTTGAAGTCGACCAAGTCATCCACGATTATCCAGACCACAAGCTCAGGAAGTTAGCACACACCTTGAACAACTGACCACTCGCCAATGCAGATAGGGACGACCCACCAGACAAGCCGGCATCTGCGGGCGGGGAACACCACACGTGCACGCCCCGGGGGGACTTGCATGCGTTGGGCTCAAGTGTATCAGAACATTGCCTGTTGGTTAAACGTCAAGTATATTGGTTGGTTACTCAACAAATTATCATAAAAGACTATGAAATGTACATGTATGTACAGCCAGCACTGGAAGCATCATTTTTTTTCTGTTTGTTTTTTAGAGCGAGGATAAAGTTTTGATCATTGGCACTCAGTAAGTAATGAAGCATTTGTTTTTGTATTGCTTGACAAATGAACAAGTAAAAACTGCTTTCTTGAGGTTGTCAACATGCGCGCTTATGCAAAAACAGCTTCGTGAAAAGGAAATTGTCAAGTAACTGTTATTTTTGTGATTTTCTGAGTGTTTTCACTTTGAAATTGAAAATACACAGTTTGCAACTTTTTGGAAAATGTGTGATTAACGCCAATATTTTGCATTCACAGCCAAAATTTATCTTAATACATTTGACCAGTGCTGGCTATACTTGATAAACAAAAGCTGGGTACAAGATTGGCATGGCTGCTGATAGTGGTAGCTAAGTTATGATGTACTGGAAAATGCACCAAGGATTTTGAAAACTCATTTCTGAAGACAAATTTGGAGATATAGAAACAAAAAGTTAAGTTTGTATATTTGTTGGCAACATTGGATTTTTGACAGAGTATTTCCAGCTCATAGTTTTAATGCAAGGAAATTTGGACTTTTGAGAATCTAAAACAGTTTTTGATTTAAATTTGAACCAAATTTTAGTCTAAATGAGAAATTTTGGGTTCAATACAGCAAATATCAAAAGTTTGGTTCAAAGAAGTGGGTTCAAATTGTGTGTAAACATAGTTTGTTTTCAACGAATTTTGTTGGAGAGAAACCAATCTTGCACCCAGCTATTACCAATCAGGCAATGCCATAAAGAAATGTTTCAGATTAAAATATCAATTAAACGTAACCAGCTCTCTCTGTTATAAACATTGTATCATAAACATTTCTCTACGAGAGGACTTTCTGCATTTTGAGCAGTCCTTGGTTTTAGCGAATCTTGTCCAAGAAATTGTTTGATTCTTTCAAGAATGCACGAAAAAAGAATGCAACTTTACAAAATTGAAATGCAGCGCTTAAACTGTCCTTTTTGCAATAAGTGACCGTTTCAAGCTAATGAATAGAACTGAATATGGTCAATGAAACCAGTGCCTAATGGCTTTTATGAACTGCGCCTGCACAACTGACTGCTGTGAGAGGCTGGTTACGTGGCATTTGTAGAGGCCTCTCCTCCATCTTCATGAACTGTGGTTTGATTTGATCTCAGCTATGAGTGCCATTAATCATAGGTTCACCAAAAGAATATTATGGTTTGAGGGCTTTTGTGCAACAATTTTCTTTGCAGACAATATTTTAGAGGATCATGTCCAATTTTTTTTTACATGATGACTTTTGTGCTAATTCATCATCAAATGTTGTGAACGACAAATTTTGCATCAGCTTTTCAATATTCTTGACATCTTTCAAACTGTGGTTACCCGAGGCAACCCATTTTGCATAGAGGCCACAGAGGTGATTTCTGAAGACCTCTAGTGAACTAAAGGAAAGAGAGACCTCTACTTCTTAAATATAAGAACTTCCGTTTCAAAAGAGTTCCGTTTCAAAAGAGTTCTGTGTCAAAATACTTCCATTCCAAAAGAGTTCCATTGCAAAAGAGTTCCATGTCAAAAGAGTTCCATGTCAAAAGAGTTCCGTGTCAAAAGAGTTCCGTTTCAACAGCGTTCCGTGTCAAAAGAGTTCCATTTAAAAGAGTTCCATCTCAAAAGAGTTCTGATTCAATAAAGTTCCATTTCTAAAGAGTTTCTTGTTAAAAGAGTTCCATTTCAAAAAAGTTCCATGCCAATATAGTTCAAGCTCAAGAGAGTTCCATTCCACAAGAGTTCCATTTCACGAGAGTTCCCTTTCAAAAGAGGCTTCCATTTCCAAAAAGGTCTTCAAAACTTTCTGCCAGATTGCAATCAATCAATGTGAATCATCCAGTGTTTTTGAGTCTGGCAAAAAAAACTCTGTACGACACGTATCATTCCCATATCATTTCTCAACAGTCTTGGAAGCCCTTGGTGTGACTGGCGAAGGGATGCAGCTCAAGAGTTGGGCATCCTTGGAGTCACTCTTTGTCCAGTTGGAGAAAAATGCAGCTCTTCAAGCAGTGCCTGCGGACCTTTCACTTGTCCGGCAAAAAATGAGAAACCGCAACTCATGGCACTGTGAGATTGAGAGTCTAAAGGCAACTGATATTTAGAGGAAGTCAATTCGAGTGAGTTCAGGTCTTGCTGGCAACGGTGTAGCTGCTGAATTCTGTACAGAATTCTGCACAGATCCAATGTACTAGTAGAAGGGAACATGTGATGAATGCATCCCACGACATCCAAACGAGACATATCTCCTGTTCGTCGCAGACTGTGTCCATGTAGCTCATCAGATCAACTGTTGAATAGTTTGCAGTTCAGTGAGCAGCCTGCTGCAGTGACGTCCGGCAGCGTGTGAAGAAGTAGGATTTCTCTTGACTGAGAGAAGAGCGCCCTCAAAGTTTACGGATGGGCTGATGGGGAGTCGACCACTGCTGGTTTGCATGAGTGGTGCTGAGTCACAGAATCTGTGTGTCAAATCAGACAAACAAACAATAGAAGGATATGCAATTGGTTTGTAATGATTTAGTGGAACACCATACCTGCCAACATACGTGACTGCTGGATGGCGGTCCAAGGATTTGTAATTTTAAAATGTCCAAAAACGTGAAATGTGTTTAGGTTTTCCACGTACATGTAGCCTGGTTTTCATTTTGAAAATTCCCCACAAATGACAAAGGCCTTTCTTTTTTGATCGTCTGAGAAGTTATTAAGTAGTTTGTAAAGTAAGGTACGGATACCAGATCCCATAATCTTGAACCGGTTCCTAACATCAGCGGTCGGATACTGCGAGCCACTATTTTTCCTCGTTATCTACGGTGAATATCAAATTGGTGAAAACTTTTCCCCATATTTGATAGAAATCAGAACATATTGATTTTTTTCAATCTGAAAACTTCAAAATAGGGATGATTCCCATTTAAAAAGGGAAAGTAAGCAGGTATGAAACACTGCAACTTTGTTCAATAAATTTCAACCAGGGATGGAAATCTGATCTGTGACAATGTCATAAAAAGGATAAAATTTGAACTTATCATTTAAGGTTTAAAAATGTAGTTATTTCACTTTTGGCAAGACGAACACACAAGATCTACGGCCCAAAAGTCTTCGGCAATGTAGGTACAAAGGTTGATTGACCCAATTCAAGAGTTCTTTTCAATCCAATGTCCTGGTCACATACATCAAAACATTACTAACCTTCTGTATATGGTTCTTGTGCCTGGCATGATCATGACAGTTGAAGAAGGTTTGGTGACAGCAAGTACATCTGACATCTATGTCTGGGTTAGTGATCTATTGGTAAATAAAGAAATGTGTAGCTGTTTAAATAGATCTCTTTGAACCATTTCAATATGACACCTCACATGCAGCCTGGATGAATAGACTAATCCATTAAGCAGAAAGAATGTTGCAACCTGACGCCACTTTTTTCTTCATATAATGTATCATCTCAATAAAGGTCAGTAATTGCAGAAATGTTGTTAAGACATTTTGCTCTTAATGTTGATAAGTCTGGGACTAAGGAACATTTCCAACTTTGTTTCGAAATACTTAGAAAATATTCTTGACTCTCCATAGATAGTCCACTGGTGCAAGATTTTGACCTTATGTTCAGACTCTACAGCCTCAGGAAAATTTACCTGTGGATCATCAAACTTGTAGGTTAAGTTCACCATGCGGTTTTCAAAATATTTTTGTCTTCCGATTTAATCTGAAGAGGCCAAGATAACTTAAATGTAAAAGAGGTTTTGGATTCTGGTCTTTGAACCTTGGAACCTTGAAAATATAAAGTTGTTTTATGATTAAAACAAATATTAACTTTGAAGTTGCAAGTTTTTATATTTTTCAGTGTTAACATATGGCGCAATGTACCTGAATTAAGCTGTTTTGTCAAGAAACACATTTTTGCTGTACTGCAGGACAAAAACTGGACTAAGCATGGTGAACATATTTGTGAAAATTAGTCCCCAGTGTTCTCCAACATGTAAAACAAACCTGGCGCCCCGCCATGTTTTCTGCGGCGCCCGCCATGTTTTAGAAGTCACCACCAAGCTTTAAAATCCAGCTGCCAGGTTTAATTTTTTTGACTCTACAGTGTTCATTTACAACTAAAAGAATTTAGAAACAAGAATGACCACTTCTTTTTCGAAAAAAATTGAATGGCTTCCTGCTGAACCCTAGTCTCGGCCAAGTTTGCGATGCGCACGGATATAAACTCACTTTATTTCTATGATCGATGCAGTTAAGTCTGGTTCTGACTATTCTGTTCTCTTCTATCATCATATTATTCGGGGGATCGTCTGGTAACCAGATGCACCCTTTTTCCATGCACATAATGCTGCATGACCTACGTACTGTACGTATACGTAAACACGTGTACTGCTACTGGACTGCAGGCCTAGCCTGAGCATGCGACGTGCGTATACATTTGCGGAATTTGCAGCAGGCATTGGCATGCATCATCTTTAATAGTTTTAATTAAACATAGACTTCGGGGCCAAGGCTAACTTTTATTGCATGTTGTATTCCATGAACTTCAGTTGTAGATTATGAGGCCTATTTTTTCAAAAGAAACTTCCGTTATTTTTACAAATTCGCTTTGTGATATAACTACTTCGCAATTTGATGTCACGGTGACTATAATCATGTGCGTATAACCCAGCTTAATGCGGCGATGACTGGTTCCCGCCGCGCCAATTTAGAAGACATGATGAAAATGCGGTAACTAGTCTGTGCACGGCTACGCGATCGATAGCGCTAGCATGGCTCTGCATTGCAAGTATGTGCACTGTCAACTGGTCGGATCCGACATCGTAAAAATGCCAAGAAAACACCGATGGAGAAAGAACATTTTTGCAAATTAATTCACAGAATTGATCTAGGTTGTCTGTGTATGTATTTTCCATGTTCAAGACTTCATTTTGAGATCGCACTACTCGTAATTGGAGTGAAACAATGCAGCGTGTTACCCGAAATTTTCGACCGTTAAACGGGGTCTGTTGGCCGTGTGCCACACATGCACAGTGCATCACACACTTCGGAGTTTTGGCCAGCTTCCCGTCTTGACTAGCGTTGTGCATATGATACGAACAACCTGAATTTTCCATTATTTTTTAAGAATTATCGAACGTAAATATATTGACAATAATTAAGGTAGGTTTTATTCACTTTTTGTGGCCATTTTGTGTATAGCTTTCGTAGTGCAATGGGAATAGTTCAGGCTAAAACTATTATGTCCAGTAATAAATAGCACCCCCATACCGTGGTTGTTAACTTTGAGAAAATAATAAACTTTATAAGAGCAATAGTAAACCAATGAAATGGAATTCTCCTTAAAATCTTTAAAACTTCTGCTAAAAAAATCAGGGTCACTGAGGGTCACTGGCCTGGAATCGCCTCAGATTGCACCACAGAGCATCTAGAATCCAAAATTTTCCCGGGGCCCTTAAGCGGGCCCCGGACCCCACGCCGTAAGGGTTTCGCGCTCGGCGCTCGCAGGAGTCCCCGCACCCCAGCACCAACCTTTAATTTTCAAAGTTGGAGAACACTGAGTCCCCCCTTTTTACAGACGTCTATTTTCGTGTAATTTTGTGTTGGAATTTAGATACGCTAACGTATGCAAAATGACCCCGGAAATTACTCTAAATATAGACGTCTGAAAAAGGGGGGATTAATTTACTATCGTTTTTAAAGACGGCGAGTGTTCTTCTTTTATCATGTTTATTAAGCATAATTACAAACAAGGTCTAAATGTAAAAATAAAAACTGTACAAAGTTCTACATTTTCGGATACATGTTCCAAGTGTGGACTTTATTTGCAGAGGAAGTCCAGTAAATTGGCCACATGGGCTACGGCTGACCTAGCCCGACTGCGTCTGGCCGTACAGTACTATCGCAAGCTCTGTAGTACGGCCAGACGCTGAATGCTTCCAAAAAGACTGAATTTTTTGGGCCGCTGATGTAGCGATTTTGCTACATCTTTTGATCGAGATTATCTTTTCATCCAGGACAAAAATTTCCACAGTTAAGGTTCTTAGTCGTAGAGCAACTCATACCTTTTCGAAAAAACTTTCTTTGGTCTCAATATTTTCATCCATCTGGCCAAAAGACGACTTTCAGTCATCATCTTCCACAAATATCGTCCCGAAAATGCTTCCCCATGCGATTTCAAAATGGCGGCCGCGCTGTAATCATGAATATGCATGAAGTCTGTGACGTATGACCTCGTGTTTTTGGACGTGCGTGCGGCGGCGCCGTACGTACATATGTACATGTTCATTACTTACTTGTAGACAACAGCCCAGTACGTGCATGCACACGTACGTCCGCGCGGCGGTGTGCATGCACGTACTGGGCTGTTGTCTACAAGTAATGTACATGTACATATGTACGTACGGCGCCGCCGCACGCACGTCCAAAAACACGAGGTCATACGTCACAGACTTTTCATGCATATTCATGAGTTACAGCGCGGCCGCCATTTTGAAATCGCATGGGGGAGCATTTTCGGGACGATATTTGTGGAAGATGATGACGGAAAGTCGTCTTTTGGCCAGATGGATGAAAATATTGAGACCAAAGAAAGTTTTTTTCGAAAAGGTATGAGTTGCTCTACGACTAAGAACCTTAACTGTGGAAATTTTTGTCCTGGATGAAAATATAATCTCGATCAAAAGATGTAGCAAAATCGCTACTGTCATCAGCGGCCAAAAAAATTCAGTCTTTTTGGAAGCATTCAGCGTCTGGCCGTACTACAGAGCTTGCGATAGTACTGTATACGGCCAGACGCAGTCGGGCTACGGCTGACCGTGCTCCGCTCGTTAGTTCTCATGGTTCTTGCAGTGAGTTGCACGTGCTTGAATTTTTGTCCGGAAAATGGGCAACATAATTTGAAAATGAAAATTAGTTGGGAAAAGACCTAAACAACACTTACTTTAATAAGAACAAGTACACATTTATCTTGGAGTACTAAATATTACTTACATGTGTAAGGTTGGTGGAAGAACGCTCCGGCTTTGATAAATTCTGCCAAATCACGCAGAAAATTTCGGCTTTAAAAAATGGCGCCACGTGCAGACGTGATTTCTTGGCACGTTTGATAGTTCGAGCAGTAATAGCCCGCATAAAGCAAACACGGTTTATTTCATTCCTCCACTGAGTGACACATCGTTGGGGCCGGGGGCATGCAGCAGGGCGGGGACTTCTACCAAAAAGTGGGGCGGATGCATGCCCTTTATTAATTTAATTAATTAATTGTTACAAAAATTGTTGGAGACAATCGGGGAGAGTTAGATAAAAACACCTTTGATCTCAAGACTGAGAACATGGCTTTGAAAAAAAGTCAACCTATAAAATAAATGCCATGGCAAGAAATAAAAGACGGTGCACTGTTCACTTGTTAATTCTTGGTGGATTTAACATTTATTTTCTCTCATATACAATCTTTTACGTAAATGAAATATTAATTAAAGAGTTCTTTTTCAAAAGGCAATAAATGTGGGTTTTTGTATCTTTTAGAATACCGATCTCTCCTGGCTGACCGAAGTCAGTTTCTACAGTAAACACAATTTCAGAAGACACTGAAGCGAAAAATGGACTTTACAAACAACTGTTTTGTTTTTATTCTTTAACCCTCCTGCTGTCTGAACAGTCATAGACAGTCAAAAAAATTCCTCTTCCCCACCATGCCTTTTACAGGCTAGTCACCAACAGTCACAACATATTTCAAAAAAGCACTGTGACTAATCAAATTCAGTCAACAGACAAAAGCAGGCAACTGGTAGGCACAGCTGGCTTATCAATCACCTACAGTCAAAGGAGAGCTGTATCAAGTTACATGAACAGTCACAACCAGTCAATCCTGCTTTATGTAAGCAAGGGCGGATCCAGAACACAATTTTTGGGGAGGGCCTAGAAATGGGTTGGATTCTAGAATCTCTGTGGTGCGATCTGAGGCAATTTCTGACCACTTTAACCAATTTATTTTTGAGGAAAATATGGTTGTGGAGGCAGTGCCTGCCTTTAGTGCGACGTCACTTAAAACAAAAATTGGGTTCGTTTTCTTTGGGGGGGGGGGGCATGGCCCCCGTTGCCACCCCTCTGATTCGCCCTTGTATGTAGGCTAGGAGTTCTTAACTTTTACAAACAGTCACCTGACTCACTTTGACTGAAAGGACAACTTCGTATGTTTGCATTGGAGGGTTAAAATTTGAAAATGTGCAAGGTTAAAATTTGATAAATGTGCAAAATTTTCACATTTTTTAAATGCATTTTTACATGTACATGTATTGCATTTTGGATACAAACTCTGCATATCTAACCCACTTTTATTCCGGAAATTTTGAGACTCCCTCCCCCCCCCCCCCCCCCAAAGTTCAACCTCTGAAAATGGAATCCATCCAGACTTATTTTCAGGTTTAATGATAGCCTTTAATCACATCTTTGCAGGGCCCAAAACAGCAGCCAAAAAAATTACGCTGAAACTTCACACAAAACTAAGCAATATTTGGAATGATTTTAAGTAATTTTTAACTACATGTAACCAACATTTAAGGGAATCAGATTAATTTAATCATTGCCAGACAACATATTCTAGCCTTAAAAACACTCACAGTACAATCTCAACAAGGAAACTATTGAGATAGAGGCACAATTAGGCACATCAATTAAAATACAACTCAACTACGAGAAATTCTACAACCCAACATTAATTATCGATTCTTTTAATTAATATACAGCTAAATATTTTTTGGGAAAATAGCTAGAGTCACATGAAATAGACTAGCCTAATATATGAAACAGACTAATATCTTTTGAATCTTATTAATAGACTAATATAATGCAAGTAGTATTTTTTAAGAGGATATAGCTACCCCTGTTATGGACGGAATTTATAAGGGTCGAGAAATGGAATTTTGGTTATTGCTTAATAACTAATGGCACGGATTAAAATTTTAAGGTAATGTGTTAAAGAAAAAACTATCTGCGTTTGCAAAATTAAAACTAGAAAAAATAGGCACTTTGAAAACAATTACTAGGCTAAATTAGATCAAGGCACATTGCAGTTCACTGCCAAAGCACTCCGAGGACAAATTACGACACCCGTTTTGTTCTAAGTCTATTCTCAGTGCTTTATGTTTATTATATAACACTATATTTACAGCTACCATTAGGTTATCCGTATTGCTTACATTACACATTGTACTCCTCTTTTTGAGAGAGTGATTTTATATATCCGCTTTCAATATTATAATAAATATCCAATAAATATAATACATATATTACCATGATATTTATATTTAATATACTTTTACTTTACACATTCTTCTAAATACGTATGATTTCACATACATGGTTATTTTTTTAAACATAAGTAATTCATGCAATCACTATTTTCATCATGACTAATGTAACTTATTTCCAACTGATTCACAATGTAGGCTTACTATATGAACATATATTTACATATTAAATTTACTTATTTAAGTGAGTCCTACAAAGACAACTTTTTTCCTGTCAAAGTTAAAATCAAAAGAAAATCAAAGTAAGTAATTCAGTTTTTATTCCTTCAGCTGACACCTCTTTTAAAACTATCCTACCCCTCCACTATGACTCCCGGAAAGTTAACATCAGTTGTTTTATTCTGTTGAGAGCTTTGCATTTGGCCTGAAACAAAACAAGAAAAACAACAATTATCAACAATTTATTATAAACAAGAACACAAACCATATATTTTTTCAAGCTCATGTCACTTGGTGGTCGGTCTGTCAGTCTGTCTGTCTGTCTGTCTGTCTGCCTGTCCCCGAAAATTGAATAAAAATAACTTAGCTATCCAGTCCCATCATTGTCAGTCTTCCAATTTGCCAATGTTTTTTACTCCGAGGCATGGGTTCGAACCCCGCTTTGGTCAGTGACTGTTTGACAACTCACCCTTAAGCTATGTTGGTACCGTCCATCTTCAGATTGCTGTCCTTGGACACGATGGTTTCCATGGCAACCTTGGCGCCCTCTACCAGCCCTTTTTCCTCGTCATTCACCTTCTCGCTGCAAAAAAATTAAAATCATGTCCAAATCAAATTTCATCATAAATTTTGCAAAAGTACGCAGAATGAAGGGGAAAAAAAAAAACGACTTGCACAACAAAGCACAAAAGTTCACATTGTTCCGCAAACCACACATCACATTTCATTGTGAAAACATTAAAAAAATATCAATTATAAAACAGTTGTTGGAATGAAAGAAGTATATGCTTTTGTTCTGCAATACTTGCCTATTTTTGACGAGGCACTGAATGTCATTCACCTTCACAGGATCACTGGCCTAGAAAAATACAAGCAAGATTTGTGTCATCAAACCACATAATCATATTATATATCATTTGTCCTTTGTACATTTTTTAAGCTGAAAACAACATATTCTAAGATCTCGATTTCAATTCAAAAGTTGCAGAGTCTTGTTTTGAATTGTCACAAAAATCACATGTGCGTCGTGTCAATGCTTGCGCACACACCCATTCACACATTTGCTGAATTACAAACCAACTACTAACTGAAATTCCCCAAAATGAGTCACTTGACGCATCTTTGGAAATGGCCTTCTTTTATTGTTTTCTTCAAGATGACAGCATGCCAGAAAGAATAATTTCACAGGGAGTTTAGTCCCATTACTATCTTTAAATCAAGTAAGCTAGCTGTTCAACAATAATTTCGCCAGTTTTCTTTGGTTAGCTGCAAATTATGATCGACACTACTTTTAAGCAACAAAGTTCTAAGTTACAAAAGATCTTGATTTTGAAGAAACGGACCACTAGGCTACTGTCCAAATAGCATCGGTCTTTTTGCTGACTTACCGCTTTCTTGGTGTCTGTGGTCAGTTCGGCGGTGTTGTTCATGGAGTTGTCCTTGGGTTTGGCTGGGTCTTTGCTCAGGGTTGTGTCCTTCATGCTGGGGTTGTCATAGCCTCCCTAATGGATGGGGGTGGGGTGGGGAACAAGTACTTCGATATAGTAACAATGCAGCGATCACGTCCAGCAAAGGGAAAGAATACTATTTGCCACTTTTACACGATGATTAAGTTAAACTTGTACATGTGCATCCTGTCCATACTGTGGAATACTTACAGAGACCGTGTTGACAGTAGAGTTGCGTTTGATCAGTTCGGTAGTGGAGACGTCGCTGGATTTGTGCATGGATGACTGGGTGCGACTAGACATGGGAGCTGTGGAGCTGGTTGTCATGGAGTGCAGTCCCTTCTTGCGACCATAGCGACGCTCGTAGGCCCTCTTCACCTAAAATCACAAGTAACAGAAGATTACGCAAGTTGAAATTGCGGCGTGACAATGTTACAATGCCCCCCCCCCCCAAAAAAAACGCCAGAAAATTTTGATCAAACAGTGCTTGCATGCATGCATGCATGGGGCTGTTTGAATGACCAGCGCTGTGTTTGGGAAATGTGCAATCGATAGGTGCAAATGAAGGGCAGGGGTGGTTACACTCAGCAATTTCACCTCACTTAATCTTTTAAATTGTCAACTTTTCAAACTGCATTTTTTTTCATAAACCGTTGTCAGTGTTGGACGATTTACAGTCTTCGGTAGCAAACGGGGTATCAAAATGTAGCTAACAACATTCCCCAAAGGTTTATAGATATGACGTTATCATAATTACGATCAGATTCAAAGTTATGACCCTCCAATGACAGTGGACTTTTTTTTAACGGTGTTTTTAAGAAAACAACACATAAAATGAGGGAAGGTCATCCATATAAACGAAAGGGATACATCTCATCTGCACAAAAAAATATTCAAAACAATTTCAAATTCTTTTTTTTAATACCTCAATGTTCATCACGCAGTGGGCAATGAAGAAGAACAAACCCTGTAAATAAAGGAGAATAAACAAAAATAAAGTGATTTATTTCAGAAAAATTACACTAGTGCCATTGTGAAACTAATTAGCAGTGTCCTCTAGTACAAAATTGTGCTTGTGGAAGTTTAATAGAATTGACAATACAAATTGAAGTTTTGAAATTGAATATGATGCCAAAACCATCATATTGCTCTTACAGGTAGGGTAGATTATTTTATCTTTTTTTTTTAAAGCAACAAAAATGCTCAAATCTAAAGACGGGTGCTTAACAACTAATCGGATGAAGTTTTAGCTCTATGAATGCATGTGTATTCCAAAAAAATAAATAACATTCTTGAAGTTTGATTTCAATTCAAAAGTTGCAGAGTCATGTTTTGAATTGCACCCGAAATCAGCATCCCTGACATGTTCTCATTCAGCTGATTGCAGCTACGCGATGTCACGCACTGAACTGACAAATAATAGCAACCGTGTGTGCGTGTGCGACACGTCAACACTTGGGCACACCCGCTCACAGATTCACCAAATTACAAAGCAAAGGAAATTTCCGAAAATGCGTCACCTTTTTTTTTTTACTTTTATTGTTTCTTCAAAATGACAACATGCCAGAAGGAATAATTTCACAGGGAGTTATTATCATTACTATCTTTAAAAGCTTTTTCGACAATAATTTGGTCAGTTACTTTTCAGATAGCTGCAAATGATCTACTGCAACTTTAATTACTGTACACAAAAAATAAACCATGGAAACTCATGAAAACAGCCAATATGTCCATGAATAAGAGCTGAAATTTTGAAAAAAAAGTAATTTTCTTTCCTTTTTGGGGGTGGGGTCAAGGGAAGAGAGGAGGGGGGTGTTGGAATACCTGCAGTGAGTTGCAGATGGCAAAGAGATAAGTGAAGACCAGTGTGTACTCATTGACGGACAGGAAACCAAAGACCCAGGTCAGTCCAAGCAGAGGGAGAAGAACGAGGGCAGCCTTCAGACCAGTCCTGGTAAAGACAGAGACATGGATGGGCCACAGAAATAAACGCAAACAAAGATGACATTTCATCAATTATTGAAATTAATTTCACTGACTTTTATCATATGCATGTTAGTCAACATGTTAGCTCTGCCCGCCTGTGCTTACTCACGTTCCTATCAACTTTAAAAAGTAAGAAAGTAAAGTCTGTTACAGGCCAATATCTCATCAGCGGGCGTTTAACTCCAAATTTAATTTCCTAGGCATGAAACGACCAAGGATATTTGTACTCCTCCTGGATGGGATGCCAGTCCATCGCAGGTTACTCCCCAGCTAATATCGGTACCCATTTATACTCCTGGGTGGAGAGAGGCAAGTGGGGTGAAGTGGCTTGCCCAAGGACACAACCCTCTGATCATGAGTCACAAACCCTCACCACAAGGCCACACTCTCCCTAAATCAACGTAGAAAAGCGACATATTTCTGTGCCAAGAATTGAGGGGTCTCTTACTTGATTTGTGAAGTATCGTTGTCTTTGCTCTTCTCCCTGGCAGTCATTGATGTCATCATCACCTTCAGTACGATGATCAGAACAGCAGTGTTCAGCTGTCGGAAACGACAAAAAAATAGTCTTACTTGGAAATTGTCCAGAAGAAGAATTTTTAGCAGTATTTCCATGTCTGTGTGGACCAATGCACAATTTCTTTAAATGAAAAAAGTTGGTGACCAAACCACAGAAATCAATATCAAACAACAAGATTGGAGCAGGATTTGAATTTGTCCACTGTCAGTCAGTTTCTTTGGTCAATCTAATATTTTTATTAAAGGATGAGTAATGTTGCGCATTGGGTCGGGTTCACCAGACCAAACCGACCAGAAATATTATAGATATAAACCGAATCCGAACCAAAACCGATCTAAACTCTCTAAAACCGAACTGACCTGACCCGACCCGACTCGACCCGACAACAATTTAAGGAAAACTGACCCGAACCGACCCAAAACCGAACAGACCCGAAAAAACCCTGAATATCTGGCTTGGGCAATTGTGTCCACTTTTTGTGCCTGAATTTACCCGCGTTGCGTGAAAATCTTCGCTCTCAGTATAAACTCAATCATACCGTATGGTACTCACTGTGCGTAATAGACTGCAAATCACATTTGGTCGTACCGGACACAGTGACTCTTCAATAAATATTGCACGTGTGAATTTCCGAACTGTTTCAGGTTTTTTATTTCAGTATATTTCTGGGTTTTTCAAAATGGCTTAACCGACCCGACCCGAAAATCGCAAACGCAAAATCGAAACCGACCCAACCTGACTGAAATGATAGACACACCAACCAGACCTGACCCGAAGTCAGTTTCGGGTCGGTTTCAGTTTCATACAACATTAGTTCAGATAATTTTTTTTCCAAATAATTAGTTTGCTTACAATGATCAGGATGCCCACAGTTGGCACAAAGATGATGAGAAGCATCTGCTGGGTCAGCCAACACCTGCAAATAGGAAGAACACAATTGGCTGAAGTGAATGAATATTCATGACTCAATTTGAATGCTTCACTTTATGATCTTTTGTACCGTTACGCCAGGCAAGCAATGATAAATTTACTGCAAACTCCCTTGCAGACTAGTGTAGTGTACCCTAATGTGGTATGGCCCTTAGCCTTGCTAAAGCTAAATCTCTACCTCAAATTTCACAGTAAATGAAATTTCTTCAAGCTCTAAACGTTCTCGTTCATCAGTCTTGAGCTGACGTACCCGCTACAAAGTTCCAGAGAAATTGTATTGTTGGGTGATTTTCTGATTTTTTTTTGGAAGTGCACAATGGATCCCATTTTAAAATGCGCCCAAAAATAAGACAATAATTTTCTGACAAACTTCTTGTTGGGTATGTGAGTAGATTTAATAATGGTTTATCAGAATTTATCAACTTTGAGAAATTCTTCAATGTTAACATGTTTTTTTTTTAGATTTGTTCAAGTGCGCCACTTCAGGGAACACGTACGTGGCCGAATTTGTGCCCAACTTCCGGACGCCACTGTTTCTGAATTTTCGGACTAAATTTCATGACATTGAAATTGTTCACAAAGGTTCAACAGCAAGCATTTTTAAGGTTATAGCACCAATATTTATCTGAATGAATTTGAATTTTGTCAATAAAGAGATTTGGCAACACTGCATGAGGAAAGTCAAGAGAAAACGTTGAAGTGCGCCATGTTAGGGAACACCACTATAATACAAATACAACGAATTGGTTGTTTCAATTTGAGAAACTTATAACCAAATAAACTATGTTGTATCCTTATTAATTCTGTGAAATCCACGCTTTACTTCCGAAACCGGCAAATAAACTTTGACAGTAAACCATTTCCAGGAGAGTCATCACTTACACAGTTCCGGATCCATAGTCCTTGAAGAAAACACCGAAGGATATACCAACAATGATCACTGGAGCACCTGAAATAGACCAAAAATTTCAACTTTCTTACCAAAGAAATATAAAAAAAAGCAACCAACCACATAATTCTCCAACTTTGAGTCACATTTTATGAGACTATTTTATGAACCACATATGTCGTTTTCTGCTCAACTCAATTAAGCTTTAGAATATTTAGGCCGGAGGGGCAATTTTAAACACCAAAAGGAAGAGATTATTCTTGGACTTCTTTCTCAACCAGTTCACGTCGGACGTGTTAACACGATCTGGCTGTTTTTATACACAGGCACTGCTGACGGAATAAGACGGCTGATGGGTCAAGACATCAAACATTGTCGCCACTTGCCTCCGGATGAGGTCTGAACACGCTAATCCCCCATTTTTTTTGTACACACACACACAAAGTCCGAGAAGTCTGTGCAGGCGGACGTGTGTTGATCCAACTGTCTCCTAAAAGAGAATTCGCAAGTACTCTCAAAACACCAATAATTCTCTCCCTGTTACCCACCCCAGCCAATGAGGAGGTACTTCTTGATATGGCTTGAGGATCCAAAGACGTGAACCAGAGCTAAGTACAGCTGAATGCCTTCCACTAGCATCCAACAGAACATGGCAGTCAAGGAGTAGTGAAGCACCACGGCAATGACTTTACACACCCACTGCAAAAAAACAACAACAGAAAAGTACTAAAGATGTTCCAGAGTTTGATTATTAGGGACAGCATCAGATCTGTGGTGAGAGGCAAATTAATGCTTACTTTTATGCCTTGTACCCATCAGCACCCGATTTCAAAAAACTTTATGCAATGGCATATAAAGTCACCATGCGCCACAATTTATTGCGTAAGTTGCGCAACATTCCACGCTGCGCAACATTTCAGTTATGACAACTTCACAAAACTTTCACAGTGTGTAAGTCAGCGATTTGTGCAACAAGTTAGGGCCTATGGTATAACTTGCGCAATAATTTTAGATGGCGTAAGTTGTGGCGTATAACGACTGAAAATGACCTTATTTTTGTAGCAAATTGTGATCGTCGTGCAGCCTGTTATTGTTATTGCACAACTTATCAAGGTTGATACAAGACACTCACAGCTTTGTGTTTGAAGTAAATAAGTTGCTATTTACTCATGAATGAGTTTTAGAGTTGCTACATGATTCCGAAGAAAGTCGGACAAAACTTTTTCAAAATGCCATCGTAAATGCTGTTGTAATCCGCGTCCAAGATGTTTAGATTATATAAAATGTTGCGTAGCTACAACAAGTTTCGTTAAATCGATCATAAGTTTATTGCGCAGCTGCGCAATTCATTTGTTGCGTAAGTCCTACGTATGGCGTACATTACGCACTGTTTCGTGAAATCAGCCGCAGGCAGAAACAATTATCTCATGGTAAAAGTAACTTACCAGAGAGCAGAAACACTGGCATTATTGTTCAGAACTTACCGCAATTTCATTCCGTTCGATGCCGACGAGGAAGATGAGTTGTGCGATGGCGATAGCTGCGGCCAGATGCATATGGACCCGGATACGGTCTGATTTCAGTCTGTACCACAGGAAAAACAATTGTTACAGGTGATACAGAAACAAAAACTGTATTTTTGGAACACTTTTGTTTTTATATTTTTTTGCTCCATGACTTCGCACCTAAATGCTTGTGTTTCCGCACCTTAAATGAACACTGATCTGATGCAAAAAGGTGTAGTAGTATCTTGCACCTCAAAAGTTTTGCCTTTTTTTTCAGATGACTTTATTATTTCTGCAACAAATGCTTAAAGGTAGAGTAGATCATTTGCGTCTATCCAAAAACTACCCGACCAAATTATTGTTGAAAAGCTTACTTGGTTTAAAGATGGTAATGGCACTAAACTCCCTGTGAAATGATTCCTTCTGGCATGCGGTCATTTTGAAGAAAGCAACAGAAGAAGGTCATTTCCAAAGATGAGTCAAGTGACGCATTTTTGGGAATTTCCGTTAGTAGTTGGTTTGTAATTGGGCAAATCTGCGAATGAGTCTGTGCAAGCGTTAACACGATGCACACACACACTTGCAATAAATCATTGGTTCAGTGCGTTACATCGCTTGGCTGCAATCGGCTGAACGAGAACGTGTCCCAGATGCTGATTTTGGCGCAATACCAAATATGACTCGGCAACTTCTGAATTGAAATCAAGATCCTAGAATATTGTTTTCTCAGAATATACAGCATTTACAGACTAAAATGTCATCGCCGGTCTTTAGACTTTGGACTTTCCGAAAATTAGGTTTTTTAATAAAAAATAATGGCTACCAGTCAAAAATCGGATCTAAGCAGCCAAACACAGTTAGGCTGCAGTGTCAGTAGTATCAACTATTCACCTGTAAAATATATGTATATTGACCAACTGGAGAGGTGACAGTATTAATCTACTGACCTGAAGAACTGGTAGATAGCGATGGAGAAGAAACAGCCCAAGATAGACAGGGTGCCACCGATGTAGGACAGGACAGAGAGGGCAGTATTGTGAGCCTCAGGTAACTTACTCTGAAAATAAAACAAAATAAAGATGAAAATGATCATAAGAATGGACAGAGAACTCAAGGAGAAGGGAGAATTTCAGCTGACGGGGCACCAATTGTAACATCCCCTATTAAAGTAGATCATTTGTCAGTTGTGCATTTTTTTCGTTTGACGCAACGAAAGTGCTCAAAATCTAAAGACGGGTGCTTAACAACTAACTTGATGAAGTTTTTAGCTCAATGAATGCTGTGTACTCCAAGAAAACAATATTCTAGGATCTCGATTTCAATTCAAAAGTTGCCGAGTCGTGTTTTGAATTGCGCCCGAAATCAGCATCCGGGACACGTTCTCAATCAGCCGATTGCAGCTACGCGATGTCACGCTCTGAACCAACGAATAATAGCACCCATGAGTGCGTGTGCGTTGTGTCAATGCTTGTGCGCGCACCAATTCACGGCTTCACCAAATTAATAACGAACTACTGACGGAAATTTCCAAAAATGCATCTTTAGACGCATCTTTGGAAATGACCTTCGCTTAATGTTTTCTTCAAAATGACAGCATGCCAGAAAGAATAATTTCACAGGGAGTTTAGTGCCATTGCTATATTTAAACCAAGTAAGCCTCTCAACAATTATTTCTCAGTTACTTTTTGGATAGCTGCAAATAATGTACTCTACCTTAAAATATTATTCCTCACTGCATTTGGAGTTTAACCTAACGTACATGTATCTTCATCTTTCCAATACTTATAGTTTCCCACTCATGAGTGATGGATGTGGGGTCAAACCCTGATGTGGAAGATGGTGTTTGTGTTCTTGGGCAAGACACTTTACAACAATTGCCTGTTCACTTCAAAGAGTACAAGTGCAAGCTTATCTCAGGCTGCTTCAGTTAACGCCTGATGAACAAGGGGATTAATTGTGAAGCATTTTGAGATCAGAACAGACATTGTACCTGGCTGCCGTGGACGTCCATGAGGATGGCAAAGTTGGTCAGATGAGAGCAGACGCAGACGGTGTGTGTGTCGTTGCTGGATTCCACCTCACATCCCGCATCATTCCAGCGGTCGTCAAGATTCCTAGATGTGGGAAAGAGGCAACCGACAAGAGATTGTAAAGATGGAGATCTGCAGATATGCCATATGTGACTAACTCAAAAAACAAAACAAAAAACATCTTAAAAGTGTGGCTCTGAGAAGTACAAAAGGTAGTCACTTGATTTGTTAATAGCTCTGCAGCCGATTTCATGAAACAGTGCGTAACTTACGCCATGCGTGGGACTTACGCAACAAATTTATTGCACAGCTGCGCAAAAAACTTTCATCAATTTCAAAAAAACGATCAATTTCACGAAACTTGGCTTAGCCGCGCAATGTGTAAAATAATCTAAACATCTTGGACGAGGATAATACAGCATTTAGGACGGCTTTTGAAACGATGTTGAGTTGAGCCCGGAGTAGAAAATAAAAACCTGGGGCAGCGTTGGGTTTGCCTAGGGTTGAGTTCAACCCGGGTCGAGTTGAACCCAGGTTGAGAGGCTTCAGTGTGAAAAGGATTTTAGGGAATAATGGGCTTACTCTGCTGATGTGTTGAGGAAGACACAGCTTGTGTTGTCAGCATCTACAACCTGGAATGTAGATCAGTCAACAACAAAAAGATTATCTCAAATCATTTACACTAAGTTAAATCGATGTGTTTTATATCTTCAATTTAAAATAATTATTTTAAACAAAACAATACCCATACCGAGTCGAATCACATTGTCATGTAAACTCAATTACGAAACTCATTTTGGTTAACTTTCCCCAAAACAAAACAAAATTGAACATCAATTTGAACTCAACTAAATTTCATTTGCCCTGAATCCACGTGATTATTTATATTTTTTGGACTCTATTTAAGAAGAGAGGACTCAGCATGTTTTTGAAACAACCAAAGAGCTAAACACGTCATAAACTGCGCTCATCATCATCATAAAAACCAACATATATTGATGCATTTATTAACCCTCCAGAACTGGATCGGACCTGTTTATGTCTGAAGACAAGCCTGATGGGTGTCTCAAGATTCTGGAAATCACTCTCTGGTAAGCCCAGGACCCGGAGAGATAGCACATCAGTGTTGACATAGTCCTTCCTGGGAGCATGAACAAAGAAGAAAAAGAGAGCAATCTAACTTTAAATCTAACACAAATAAATTTTTAAAAAACACAGCTGACTCGGGCAAGCTTTATGGTAAAGTGATATAGTTTTAGCACAAGTAAGCAAAATTTTACGTCCTACCTGTCTTGGTTTTCACCCTTGTCGTTACCCAGACTAAACAGCTCACCAACAGAGGAAAACCTTCCTTTCATGACACCCACATAGCCTACCGCAAAGAAATAGACAACTTTAGCACATGAATTGGCTAAGCAAGATTTTCGCAAAGCACTGATCTTTATCAAAATAGGTCCAAATAGCACCCTGCTATCTAAAACTTTAGGGCCCGTCATATCTGGGACGAGTTCTGAACAATACTCAATACTGATAACTTCATTGCGGGAGATTGCGGGAAGTTGTTGAGAATCCTGCAACTTATACCCGATACACTGTCCGCAACTTGTCCGGAGCTTTTCCCACATATGAACTGAGATGCGCCCGTAGTAATTCCCAGGAAAAAATCTTGTAAATGTTATGCTAAAAGTAATGTTTTAACTACAAATATTGAAGAATAAACAGTCTTTTATGAATGAATTTATTACCAGTGCCATTGCCGTCAGCTGCATCCAGCAAGTCCTCTGGTAGGACGATACTACTGAGTGGAAGGCCATCTGCGCCCATCTCACCAGCAGCCCCACCCAAGAAACTGTCTTGCTGATCCGTGTCATTGCTTCGAAATACCGAGATCTGGAGCTCTGCCAGAACCACAATAATAAAGTTTTTTTTATGGATTTGAAAATCGGTTTGTAATATAGGGCATGGTATTTGAACTGAGGAGAAATGAAAGGAAAACAGACCTGCACCCGATTTCACGAAGCGCTGCGACGCGTCACAACTCGAGCTACGACATGTACCATGTTACAGCTCAAGACGCACCGTACGATCCATTTCACGAAACTTGCGATGTGTTGAATGCGCCATAAGTTCCTTGACAACGGCTTAAAACACGTCGCAAGTTACGACATGTCTAGTATAAGAAGCGTCCTTTTTTTAGCCAGTTTAATGCCATAAAATTACACAAAGGAGACTATAATACCGAGACAATGTGTGTGAAGTTTTAAATGGAAAATGAAATGAAGTAATTATGAATTAGCCTGGAATATTGCAGTTGCAATTTCAAAGTAGCTTTACAGTCCACTGAGAGCTTGTTTTCCTTTCAAATTGCATCACACGTCCGCCATTTTGTGTTACAATTTCAAAACTTTTTGAGAGAAGATCCGATGACTCTTTGTTGAATATCAGACGACTATTTAAAATACTGTACGCTGAATAAGTACATATAACAGACACCGAGTTGTGCTATAATACAACTATGACCCGTCGCACTTACGACATGTTTTGTGAAATGAATCGCAGGACGTGTCGCAGCTGCGATGCATCGTAGGGATACAACGTGTCACAGCTCTGCAATGCAACTAAATTTCAGATGAGTTTAATGAAATCAGATGCTTACCTCCCCAAATAAACATTAACAGAGCTTGACAACCGTAGCTGTCTTACAAGAATTCATCTGAAAGTCACGTACCTATGTTTTTGTCCTTGATCATCAAGCTGGTGTCGTCTGGGTTGGTGCCCAGCTGCTGGGCCTGCTGTCTGCTCACCACGTTGGCCATGGCCTCTGCTGAGGTGATCATGGTGGTCACGCTAGATGCTACTTTTTCCTTCAAAAAATAATCAACAAACCATAAATAACGTGTTGTGTGCTTACCAATCGTATTAATTAAACAGTGTGCTCTGTCGACTGCCAGACTGCCAGACTCTAACTGGTGTAGTTGTTTAAGTAAAGGCGGCTCAGCACCAGGGGGATTAGTTTGAAATGTCAAGTTAAACCAACTGGTTCTTCTCAGAACCGCACAACTCACAGAGAGATATCATTCACATGGTGTTACCGCAAACATCCCATTCATTGATCATGTCCACCATGCAAACCTACGAGTCTAATTTTAAAAAAAAATCAACAAAAATCCAGTTTATGGACGACAAAAGACAGCAACATTTTTCCGAACAGTTAGTATAACTTTTCCATAAGTGCCCTAAAATGGTCCCAAAGTTGTGCCAAGCCGAGCATGAGACACAAATCCTCTTTCCCACGAGCTGATTTCGGCATTATTTTTTTGACTTTAAAATGAAATTTGCAAGCATGCTTACAGGGTTGTTTGTGTTCTTCCAGGCATGGATCTGAGATTCGTCCACCACATTGTTGATAGTTCCTGCACATGCCTATACAACAGAGAAAACATTGGAAACTGGATTAAGGATGCATGTGGCCAAAATTTAAAACAATGAGGTGAACAATTTTAGAAGTGTTTGTGGAAATGTGACTATTTCTAAAAGTGAAATGGTTCAGAAGAAATAACCAGTGATCTCACGCGAAGACAATAATGATCAAGCTTCTTCAGTTGGAACTTCAACCCAAGATCTCTGCTCACTAGTGTAAAAGTCTTGACGAGTAACAAGCAGGTTGTGGGTTCGATTCCAACCCAAGCAAAGTTGTGAAATTTTGGTTCTCAGAAAGCACACACAGCTTACAAAAGTTACATCATTGAAAGGCATAACCCAACATAAAAATCACATCTCCGATTCCTCGCCACAAAAATCCAATCGTTTGTTGAGTTATTCCCCGTCCGAATATTTCTGCTCGTGACAGACTCGTACCTTGGTCAGATCTTTGGCCGTTCCCACGTCGAGATTCTTCACAGAGCCCACCACCTCTGAGATGACGCTAAGACTGTTGGTAGCCACCTCCATGTCCCCTGGGTAGATCTGCTTGGCCTTCCCTCCCCCTCCCTCTGCCCCCGCCCCCGCCCCGGGGATCTTGGTGATGTTCTGTAGAGTGTTAGCTAGGTCAAGGACGTCCCCGGCACTTGCGTTGCCCGACTTCAGGAGCTCCGCCTGGGAGGAAACCGTGCAATTTTCTTCATTTTTTACATAAAGTATTTTTCTGTTCCATTCAATTAAAACATCCAAACATGCTAAAACTATCTTGCAGTCACTTTCACAAAACCATGCGCAACTGTTTAAAGGCAGAGTATATCATACGCAGCTATCCAAAAAGTAATTGACTAAATTATTGTTGAAAAGCATACTTGGTTTAAAGATGGTAATGGCACTAAACTCCCTGTGAAATTATTCTTTCTGGTATGCTGTCATTTTGAATAAAACAATGAAAGAAGGTCATTTTCAAAGACGCATCTAAAGACGCATTTTTGGAAATTTCCTTTAGTAGTTCGTTAACAATTCGGCAAAGCCGGGAATCGGTGTGTGCAAGCGTTGATGCGACGCACGCGTGCGCGCGGTTGCTATAATTCATCGGTTCAGTGATGGTGTCTCTTTTCTTTGGAGATTTTCAGACCTTTGCGGAATATGATTTTGGACATACCTTTCCGTTGATTTCAGCAAACGCTGGACTGACACACTGCGATAGGTCTGGGTTGCTCCACGTGGCAGTCAAATCGCACAAGCGCGAGGCATTGCCTGAATGTTAGCGGGAAAACACAAAATCACATGAAAGGTAGCAACATTATAGCAATTCGCAAAATGAACAAATGAAGAAATCTGCAAATGACACACTGTGATTTCATGGGTTGCCGGTCCATCCCAGGTTACTCCCCAGCTAATGCCGGTACCCATTTATACTCCTTGGTGGAGAGAGGCAAGTCAGGGTGAAGTGGCTTGCTCAAGGACACAACATATGACCAACAGCTGGATTTGAGCCCCTGACCCCTTGATCACGAGTCAGGAACCCTAACCACTAGGCCATACTCCCCTTCAGATTCAAGAGATATAAGGCCAGTAAATGTGGGTCTTACCGTTAGCCCCCTCTGGGCAAGATTTCAAGCTAGTATGCCCAGGTTCGGTGTCATCCCACACCAAGCCACTTCCCTCAATCCCGTCTGGACCACCTGCACATATAGCCTTTCTGTCCTCTGCAAATAAAATGCCATAAAATTTGCTACGACTTTATAGAGTAAAAGTACCCCCGTTCTACCGAGTTCAAAAAAATATAACACACATAGGTCGATGAGAAAGAACAAGTTGGAAACACATACAAATCACTCCGTACAGATTGACGAATTAACAACTGAATGGCTCTCTTGAACTAACACTTGCATATGCAGTGAAAATCCCCAAAATATCTCCCTGTATATCTCACCTGCTTCACAACGATCCCCAATGAAGCCCTCTACACAGCGGCATTGGAATCTGTTGACGAGATTATCACAGGTTCCTCCGTTCAGACAGGGATCACTGGAACATTCATCGACATCTGTGATAATCAGAAAGGAAATTGCCGTCATCTGTTTATAACTTTTGCAAGTTTAGGATTTTGTTTAGCGAAATTTGAGGACTTTATTCGCAAGTTTGAAATTTTAAACCTTGGCCCTGTCTTCGGTTTGGCTTCAAATCTGTCTCCAGAAATATTTCCCGTAATTATAACACCCATTATTATCGTTCTAACTGAAATAATTATTGGTATACCGGTTTGGCAGTTTACACCGACGTAGCCCGCTTTGCAGTCACAGTTGTATGCATTCACTTTATCTACGCACTTCCCACCATTTTTGCATGGATCACTGGAACACTCATTAATGTCTGTAAAAAAAAAAATCATAAAAACATCACATTTTACTTTTAGGTCTGATGAAATTTTCATACTTACTAGTCAGTAACATGTTCTTTATCTCTATAGAATTTTTACGAAATTGAGCGAACCACATATTGTTAAAAATATTGTCATAATTTGGTCACTTTCTTTTTGACTCACCCTGTAAAACAGGAAACATTCTTCTAGATTACTTTTTTTAGTGCATGAATGTTGAAGATGAAGATGAGTATATCCAGCTCAAGAAAAAGAAAATTGAATTTAAAAAAAAAGGGAAAAAGATAAAGTTACCATTTTGACAACGGACTCCATCATAGCCTGTTAAACAGACACACTGGTACTGGTTGACTTCATCTATGCATGTGGCACCATGCTGGCACGGACTACCAGCACACTCATCTATGTCTGAGACAAAGGAAAAGTCCGAAAATTACTGTCAACTTTATCCGTTGTTAAGCTAGAGAGAACAAAAATTGTTATTTTTGGTGCAAATTCAGTTTTTGATATATGGGAGGGGGACTTTTTGCCATTCCGTCCCCAATGACAAAACAAAAAAATATTGCAAATGTTTACCACCTCTCACGCGAAACTTCTTCAAACTTTTCATATATTTTTGCAAACATTCCCCCCCCCCAAAAAAAATTTCTTGAAAGCAGGCTTTTGTTGCAAATTACTTATTACTGATTCCTGCTTCAGTGAAGTTTAAAACAGATCTCGAAAAAGAAAAAATTCTTACCACTCTACAGAAACAAATTAAAAACTGACAGTTTTTAGTCGTAGAGCTATATATTACATCACTAGAGTGCTGACTTGATACAAAGTACAAAGTGATGCCTGCTGGGCGCATCCATGTGCACAAACCTATGGAAAACTCTGTTGTACGGCTATTTGCATATCTGCGTTTGTATGCTATACAGGTGCGATATTGAAGCCGATACGCTCAAAACTGAAATGCACAATTGATAATGAGCATTTCATTTTGCTCTGCACAAACACATAAATGTGTGCGTGTATCCCCTGCAGATAATTTTTTCCGTAACGTTTTTTTAACAATATGCATAACTGTATGTTTGCGTATGTTGTTCTTCCACGTTGCATTTAGAGTACACTTTCAAAATTCACTCCAAGTCATTTTATTATGTTCTAGAAACACGCACATGAATTCAAAATGTCTGCGCACAGGACGGCTTCAAAGTATCTCCGCGCGTAAGAATGAGGAGTCAGCGCTCTTGTACAGGCTCAATTTCACAAAAAATAAGACTCCTCTTTCTATTGGTAAAGTTTTCAAAAGTGAAACTAATGTCTAAGTCCAACTTATAGAACATATCTACATCTGCAATTTTCTACTTTGTTTCGTCAAGTTTTGTTTTTGTTTTTCACGTACTTTCTTCGCAGTGTACTCCTCTATAACCCAGCGAGCAGTTGCAGGAATAGCCATTAACAGCATCCACACAGATCGCATCGTTCTGGCACGGACCGCTGAAGCATTCGTCAATATCTGTTAATAAAACAAAACGAAAGGCCAAGAAAAGTTAAGATTTCAACAGTAAATAGGTCCTATCTCTGGCGCACGTCAACAGTTTGTTATACAGGTTATCCCATACAAAAACCTAACAGTCGAAAACCAATTAATAAAGGTATGTAGCATGTGAGTTTTGGAATATTTTCAAATTACCTCTTAAAGTCAGATAACCAATCTACCATACAAACTTGATGCATTAAAACAAACGCTATGCTTCATCGAACTCAAGGGTTGAAAATCGTCTTGGGTCACTTTCCTTGAAAGTGAGAAAGCGCAGTGAGAGAAACACACAGAGGATTTATTTCCTTTGTTCAAGAGTAACATGTGACTTATTCTACCGGCTTCGATTTGTAAACTTGATAAAAAAAAAGGGGACCAAGTGGTTTTCAAGTCCCATATTGTGATTACTGTATCTTTTGAACAAAAACATTCTAATGAAACCAACTCAAAAGCATTTGGAAGACCAATTATTCTACTCAGCCATACATTAGACACGATTTTGAATACCACTCCCACTTTTCTGAAAACATGCGAATTCAATAAGGGTTTTTTTGTGGGACAACCTGTAAACAGAAAGTTAGTTTCTGTCTCTTTCAACCAAAGTAACAGTCATTTTTTTCTAAGGCTTCATTTCTCTGGGCTTGCAGGACAGCTACCTGTTTCGCAGTTGGTGCCTTCGAAGCCTGCGACACAGGCGCAGCTGAATTCATTAATGTCATTTTGACACGTTCCGCCATTGAGACACGGATGACTGGAACACTCGTCAATATCTAGGATTGGAAACGGAAAACATCAGATTATGAAGTCAAAAATCTTCGAAAGAAGTTTTCTAATTAAAAACAAAAAAGTTGGGAGAAAATTCAGGGAAAAAATGTTTAAAATGGCAAACATGCTTACCAGTTTCGCATTGGATTCCGTCGTAGCCTGCTATGCATACACACTGGTACCCATTCACCATATCAACACAGGTTGAGCCATACTGGCAGGGACCACTAGCACATTCATCAAAGTCTGATCAAGGATACAAACAAAATATTCATATGATCATTTTTACACTTTGGGACATGATTATTTTTGTTTCTAGGCAAATTGTTGTATAAATAAATGAAGGGTGTCATAAGATCAAGCTGTATGTCGATCAATATCAGGAATTGCCAACAAACCGAAGGAAACGGTTCACTAGAAGTTAGGGCAGGGCATGACCATTCACAACTAGGTTGTTTTTTAATCACTGTTTATCAATTCTGCATATCTGTCAGCTAGGACCGTTAGGTAGAGTAGATCATTGTCATTTGTGCATTTGTTCCGTTTGAAGCAACAAAAGTGCTCATAATCTAAAGACAGGTGCTGAACAACTAACCTGAAGTTTTAGCTCTTCAAAAAGACAGCATGCCAGAAGGAATAATTTCACAGGGGGTTTAGTGCCATTACCATCTTTAAACCAAGTATGCTTTTCAACAAGAATTTGGTCAGTTTGTAGTACAGCAGTACTTTGGGAGTCTTGAGCTCTAGCAGCGCGGAGTCGTGAGGCAGCGCGGAGTCAGCCACACATCAGAGAGGGACACAACTTCATGGTTTCACACTGCTTGGCTGGCTTATTATTCAACATGAATATTCAACATGCTATCGGTCCAATCACTACAAGTTACATTTTGGATAGCTACAAATGATCTACTCTACCTTTAAGTTGTTTAAAAATGTTTGATCATAAATTGACTAGAATTCATATTCACACTTCTATAAACCACGGCATCAACCAACAGGTCTCGATCAGACTTGCCATAATTTATAACCCGAGAGAGGGTGTTTAATTTCAAAAAGAAATGAACAAACTATTGAGCAAAGATGTCTAACTACTGCTTACCGGTCTCGCAGTGGACGCCCACGTACCCTGGCAGGCAGTGGCAGGCGTACGCATCAACAAGGTTGTCACAGTTGCCGTACTGGCTGCATGGATTGCTAGCACACTCGTCAATCTCTGCGATCCATAAATAGTAAAACACAAGAACAGTAGCAACAGATTAAATGAATTTGTCCGGTGCCTGGAAGAAATTCGTAAGGACGCAAAATGTCACAATTCGGGTTTTTTGGGGTTATTGATAAAGCTTGGAAATATCTTTCATTTGATACACATATTGTCTCAAGGGGCTACGTCATTCTGACGTAATTTACAGTAAACAAAGGACGGAGGCAAAAGGTCGTAAGCGTGTAATAATAATATAACAAAAAATGTTCCAAGCACCCTAACGTCCCATTTAAATGGGTACGCAAAGCCAACTTTGTTCCCGGCAAAAAGACGTTAGGATTTAACATGCCGCTTAAGTGCACGTTTAATGCAAGGCGAGTTCACGTTTAAGGCAGATGGAGTTCCTGGTTAAAGGTCGTAAGCAGAAAACATTAAATAACTTCAAAATTAAGTAATATTTTGAAATAAAAATGCACATTATAAATTCAATTATCAACAACTTTCACGAGCCCAAATTTCAGCTGGATGTGATTTTTCATTTAGAAAGGGGAGCGCAAAACCTTTGAACTCGATTATCTGCAAAAGTGTTTTTTGCCTGCCTGGGCTGCTTACGTCCTTATCCTTGGCACACAACGAATTGCTCTTATATGCAACACGGATATTTACTTATCTCCGAAAGGAAAGCTTATCAAACTCTTCGCCTATAGCAAAAATATTTCTGAGCTAACAAACATATTCGTGAAGTGAATGATTTGAAGTGAATAATTCGAAGGACACAATTGTCACATTTTGTTTCTATGAACATTTGTAGAAACTCCTGGAAAAACGTGGGAAAAGTTTCTTGGATGTGAAAACAAACAAAACTGAAACATTTGGAGAATTTTTTTGAAGAAATTTAAAATAAAAGTGTGGACAATTTAAAAAATAAAAAATTAAAAATGTTGCCAGCTAAATAAACAAGTTGCAAGTATTCAGTAAATACTTGTCTTAACCACTTCACGCCAGGTTTAATTTTTTTTCAAAAATTTCGAAATTTTCAAAAGGCAAAATTTTCAAAAGGCAAAAAAAAATAACCAGCCAGTGCGAGTCATCACGGCCTTCATCACAAACTGGTTAAGAGGTTTTCCCTCTTGTAAAAGAACTGAGACAATTCTGCACCTGTTTGACACTGTGCGCCTTCGTATCCCGGACAATGGCAAGTGTATCCATCGACCGCATCGGAACAGGCTCCACCATTCTGGCACGGGGAACTGCTGCACTCGTCAGTATCTGGGGATGACAATAAAAAGTTGTGAGTAGTAAGAAACCTTGTCACCCAAGCAACAGATATGCCGAATCTCATCCAAGCTAATCCCCTAAGACATCTAAGGTCCATTCTAAGGCCCATGGCACGGGCGTTAAGAACAGTGCTGTGCCACTGACGTTTGGAATGACGACAGCCCTGTCATCCAAAGGATGGTGCCAATGCCGGAACTCAAGATGCCGGGGCGAATGGTTCTAAACACCGTGCCATCCCTGTGCCGAATTTTAGAAAGTCAAATGAACTGAGTTTTCTAGATGCCGGCAGTAGCACGGCATCTAGAATGGGCCTAGGCTGATACACTGGCTAGCCACTAGTGGGCACAACTTTGAGCTACTTGGCTCATCATCTGCTAAAGCTAACCCTTACCCTGGATCAAGCTAATCCTCGATCAAGCTAATCCTGGATCAAGATGGCGTGGTGAGATGAGTAGACTTGTGAGGAGGGTCAACTGGAAGAACCAAATGCATCTTACCTATTTCACACTGTAGTCCTTCATAGCCGGCCATACATGTGCACATGAACGTCCCGGTGCCGTCTTCGCAATTGCCGCCGTTTCGACAAGGGGCACTAAAACAGTAGTGCACTAGTTTGCAAAAAAACAAAAGAAAATTGCGTCGACTATAGTCTTTGATCGTCCAGTGTTTTAACATTCAAGACTTTTTTTCAAGCAAAAAGACTGGTTAGGAAGATGCCGATGTGGGCCTGCTATATAACGTAGTGGATAGATCTTGAACGCTAGTCTATTGGTCTAAGGTTCAACTTCCGCTAATATTTCTCAGCTAATGCAAACTTGTTTTGGCTTGCTCTTAAAAAAATCCGTGGTCACTTGGTAAGATATCATCACTAAAAACCAGAAGGTCGTGGGTTCAAGTCCTGCCCAAGTTAGCTTGTGCAGCGTTTGTAAATCAAGTCAGTAATAGGCAAAACTCAATGTTGAAAACTTGTTCTGAGGTTTTATAACACAGAATCTGCAATTGATTCAATTTCTTTTCAAAAGTTTTAATCTGGACTTTTGACCAACCAAAAAATGACAATTCCTATCGGCTGGGGTGTTACCTTCCGCGCAGAGAGTCCCCTTGAAGCCTGAGTCGCAATTACATGAATATTCATTAATACCGTCGACGCAGGTCGCACCATTCTGACACAGGTGGTTCATACACTCGTCAATATCTAGACACAGGAAATATAATGTAGACGTCAAGAAAACAATCTGCACAAGTTGAAAACTTCTCTAAGAAATACTGCAAGTGAGACTTGCGCAATCCCCCTGGCATGCTGGTAGTTTTTATAAAGTCAGTGTCCCTAACCAAAATGAAAGATTTCTATTGTTTTAGCAAGACTATCAAGAACAATCCACAAACCAAATTTCAAGTTCCTCAGTAAAGTATTTCTCAAGTAATCGTGCTGACAAGAGTTAACCTAAAAACATACATACAGACACACACACTAGCACATTTGTTTCTGGTGTAAAATCGAGGATTTTCTTTTGTTCCTCTTCCCTGTTTATACTTTTTTGCAACAGCTCTCATTGGTTTTGTACACGTTTTCAAATCGAGGTCGTCCTCGATTTGGTTCCTGTCCTCGATTCACCGATGATGTTGCACATGTGTGTCCTCGATTACACCATAAACAAACCCGCACAGACACACAGAAGGAATACGCTATCGTAATATCCCTCTCCGGTTTACAGCCAGTGGGATAAAAAGGCGGGATTCCGGTCAAAAAATAAATGAAATAAAAAAATGAAATAAAATAAAATAGTCCACTACTTTGTGGATTTAATAAAAAAAAGTATTCTATTCAACGTATTTGCTCAATCTATGCACGGTTTACACTTTACAGATAGATTTACAACATTTTACTTGGAAAAAGAATACATTTTGACATTTTGTTTTCTGTTAACCAGTTCACGTTGGATGACGTGTATACCCGCAAAGATTTTGCGTGTATCTGGCATCTAGGTTCGTTAAAAACAATCCCGCGCCTGGGTCCGGTCATTGTCAAAATAATCCCGGCGCAAACTGGTTAAACTGTTACACTACTGTTCATGAACCAAATACAATTTATGTATTGTGGTGCTACACCAGGATTTAGGTTGGACTGGCACTGCATGGTGCAGGGTTACTGAGATCTGTCATTGGGTCAGTTTTGGTGTGTGGGTGGGGTAGGATAGGTGGTTGGTGTGTAGTGTGTTGGACTAATTGCCTCCTATAACTATAGACTTTGTGCAGGAACGTACGGTAGACGGTGCAGTGTTGACTACTCACGAGAACCATGAGTGAGGGCCACGGCGTGTGCATGCACCCGTTTACGCATACGCAGCACGGTATACATATACAGTGGAACGCCGCTATAACGAACATCGCGGGATCCACAGAAAATGTTTGTAATAACGGTTGTTCAGTATAGCGCTTTTAAGCTGCTGGCGCTCTAGTACTCACTTTTCAATAAGTAGCACATGGGGGGGGGGGGTGATTGGTTGGTGGGAAAGATTGGTGGGGGGGGAGGTTGGTGGGGGGGGGGGGATTGATAGGTGGGGTAGGAAGGGTGTAACAGGCTGATCCTTTAATCCCATTTGACCAGTTAGTAGCCGCAACTGTGGGGCAGCTGGAACATGCAAAGTGAAATTGTGGAGACGTCTGCAGTTTGTTAACTGACAACTGTGCAAGGTCCATTGTATGCAGAGTCCTCGCACAACTAGGATTGGGTGATGTTAATTTAAGTTGTTGGCTAGACGTGCAAAGACATTGTGGTAATAAGTGCATGCATGCTTCGTGCTGTCACAAATGGCCTGTCGCAAACTCGGTGACGGTGCAGTGAGCATGCGTGGTGACGACCGACGTTACCAGAAGCCATCTCAACGTACCTATGTTGCACGTTGGTCCTTCAAAACCCGTAGCGCAGGCACAGTCGAACCCATTATGGAGATCCTGACAGTGGGTTCCGAATTCCCCGCAAGGCCAGGGATTGCACTCGTCAATGTTCTGGCCGCACGCCTTGCCCTCCCATCCCGGGGTGCAATCGCAAGAAAAATCAAGGTCTACGTTGGTGCAATTGCCCCTGTTCTGGCAAGGAGCGGAGGTACAGCCCAGCACCTCTTCATTAGCAGCAGGGGAGGAAAGTCGGGATTGTTTTTTTTTTCTTAATTTAAACTAATTGAGTTTTTATTAAAAAATTGGAAATGTAACATTTAAAATTGAAATTATATTATCACCAATGCAAGTAAACAAAAGTCCTCACTAAGTGAAGAAACCTTTCGACTTCAGTCGCCATGGCAACTAGTAATTTCTCTCATCTTTTTAAAGTCAGTTTATATCTATACTAGCAGGGTTCACCCATAACATTTTTCTTCACTAGCCAGCCGAACTAGAAACCAGACTTTAACTACCCCGCGGGCCTTTTCACTAGTCTGCAATAGAATGTTTTGCATTTCTTTGCTATTTTTATTTTCTATTTATTTATACGATAGCAATTTCGGTGCAATAATCGGCTGGGCAACGGCATGAAAACAGCCGAATGCCCGTCAGTGTCAGCTTACTTTTTTCTACGTGGCTACGTGGAAAAGTTGTACACCTTATCTCAATAATTTTGACTAGCCCGCCGCTGTTTTGACTCGCATTTGGCTAGCAGGCGACCGCTAAGGTCGAACCCCGATACTAGTGGTTACCTGTGGAGTAGACCAGTCGGAATCCCTGCCCAGGCTCTGCGGCACCTTGGAAGGTCAAGAACGCCTCATTGGTGGAGGAGCTGACATCGTGAAGGGGCGACACACGCTGAACCTCTGTCCCGCAAAACTGTGCCGCAAGTCTGTCGGACTGAGCACTTGTTCCATCATAGACCTGTGGTTAGTGAAATTTCACGGAGAAAATAAAACAGCAATAGTCAATAAAACAGCAATAGTGCCTCAGTAATGACGAGTCAATGACTCGACTCGAGTCCGACTCTTGTTATGAAACTGCCACTCAAAAACACAAGTGCCCCTCTCAAATTAACAATATTGTGCACAATTTAGAGATGAAAAACTACCCCTCGAAAGCACAAACACCCCTCTCGCAATAATAAAATTGTGCCCCTCGCGAGGTAGAAAATCGGGACATTAAAACCAATAGTGCTCCCCTCGCGATAACTTCTCGAGATGTAAAACTGCACCTTGAAAGCACAATTTTATTCGTGCCCCGCTCACAACATTAAAATTGTGCCCCTCTCATGGAAAACTGGCCTTTAAAAATAATAGTGCTCCTCCTTACGCAAATAAAATGCCCCTGTTCCATTTCATTATCACTCCAAATATAAAATTCGGACTTTTTAGCGTATGCCTCTAGACTGGCAGTTGTACTTTTGAACTAGAATTAATGGTTTTAAAATGTACTTCTAAATATACAAAGCCCAATAAGATAGAAACAGAAAATAATTCCCTACATTTTCAAAATAATAAGCACGTAAAAACATACTTGGTAAAAATATCAAAATACCAAACCAAAGTTTAGGCTGAAATTACCTCGTTCAAAGAAAGATTTAATTATTATATGAGGATGCAAAAGAAGCGAGTGATTTAATTGATGGGAAGAGACAACAGGTGCAACAGACACAGCGGAGATCTGCTCACAAAAACGAAAGACAAACCGCTGTTACTGAAAAGGAAATGAGTTTTAGCACTTGATGAACAATAGAGCAGCTGGAAAGCAAGGCTAGCTTAGCCCGAGTAGGTGTGTGATGTATCGCCCTAATGTTTTCCGTCACGTATGCAGTGTCATCAACCGGCCTTGGTCGTGAATCCGGGGGCGGATCCGAGGAATGAAAAAAGAGGGCGGAGAAGCTCTTCGGAAATCAAAGTTTCGTTCCTTGTACTTGGAGAAAAACTTCAACTTTGTTTTTTTCACTGGCGGGACCATTATTCTTGATCACTCATTACAATTTTCACAATGTTAAGCAACAAAAATATTGTCTTCGACACTGATACAGATGTTAACAACAGCCACAAAAGCAGAGAAAATCTTTTCAATGTTTTCAAATAATTCTCCTCAATCTATTAATGGCTTCATGGTCAAAAAGGTCAAGAATAGAATTTTTAAACAAATACAATGAATGAACAGACTGTATTAACGAAGAAAACAAATCACATAGGGATGTGTGTGAATTGTTTTCGTTTTGCTGAAAGAACGCACACCTTTTTTTGTGATCCGTGGACAGAACTTTAAAACGGTGGTTGTGTTTAAAATTCCGTAACTTGAAAAGTACAAGTGTGATTTGAATGATTCTTGTACTAAAAGAAAGCTTATGAATTGGGCTTTCATATCCTAGATTTTCAAAGTGCTACATGAAGAACTTCACTAAAATAATAGTCCTGACATTTGGGTTTCGTTTTTGTTTACTCACCTTGTACTTGACCAAAATCAACAAAAAAGCCAAAAGATCCCCCTTTCTTGGCTTAAAAACCAGGGGATAAAAATTACATGGCATGGACCCCTTAAACATCCAGAAATTTGTACCAACTATCAAACTGGCATATGTTGAGGAAACAACTCATTTACCAGAACATTGGATGCTGTGCAATCGCTGACAGAGCTGAGGTCGAAGACTTCAAAGTCCATGTCGATGCGATAGCCTGACTGGGTCTGGAGGGTCCAATCACAGGCAATGGAGGCTGGGTAGGTGCCGGGATGGAGGGGTGTCTCCAGTGCCCCTGTACCATCAGTTGGAACGTCGATGGTTATACCACTGCAAACACCTTCAAGATATTTACAATGAAAAATGTTGGGCAACTCTTAATCTAAATCTGTATTGAAATAATTTTGGCCAGCTTTTTAAAGGTAGGTAGATCATTTGTCTTTTTTTCTTTTCTTTTTTTGTTTGAAGCAACGAAAGTACTCATAATCTCAAGACGGGTGCCGAACAACTAACCTGGTGACGTTTTTGCTCTGTGAATGCTGTGTATTCCGAGAAAACACAATTCTAGGATCTCGATTTCAATTCAAAAGTGGCGAGTCATATTTTGAATTGCGCCTGAAATCAGCATTACATTCTCATTCAACGATTGCAGCTATGCGATTTCATGCTCTCAACCGACGGGAAAAAAAAGCAACTGCGCACGCGTATGCGTCGTGTCAATGCTTGTACGCACCCATTCACGGATTCGCCCAATTACAAACCAACTACTTACGGAAATTTAAACAAATGCGTCACTTTTATTCTTTTCTTCAAAATGACAGCATATGACTTATAATTGACTTATGACCACACTTATGATTGGGTTGTGATTGACTTATGACTGCACCTATGATTGTCTTATGACTGCACTTATGATTGAATAGTGATTGACTTATGACTGCACTTATGATTGAGTTGTGATTGACTTGTGACTGGATTTGAGGTGGACTTGTGATTTACATAACTAGTCTACAATTCCAGATTTGAACTCTTGCCCATACCTGTATAGTGGAGCTGGAAACCTCGGAAGCCCTCAACACTATCCGTTTCGAAATGCAGGTAAACAGAACTTCCAGTGGAGGTGATTTCTTCCGGGAACTCGGTGCCACAGTATTCGCCGATCAGGGGAGCGTTTGCATCGGAACCATCATACACCTGGAAATTATTCAGGCCAAGAAAGGAACAAAAAGTTGAAGAACGTACTGTGGATGAATCTTTCACATCAACCACTGAGTTTACACAGCATTTTAAGAATTGCTTAAAATCTCTTATTTGGGCAACTGCTGGTTCAAACTGAGAATATACAGGGCGACCCAGAACAAATGAAACCCTAAAATATTTACCTTTAACAAAAAGGATCAGTGGATTTTTATGCTTTGGTTGTCAGATTAAAACTGAGAGCTTTTTCTTTCAAATACTGAGAAAAAAAAATTATGAAAACAGCACATTGGGTTGCCGAGAAAATGCCAATTATGTAAAAGTAGTCATTTTTCATCCTGTACACAAGTACTTCAAACAGTGAAACATTTCACTGTAGGCCTACTGTGCAATTAAGGTGCAATTTATTTAGTATTTTGACATAATTGTCATGATGAAAGGGTTTAAAATTGGACTAGAAAAGATAAGATACCTGTTCAGGTGCAAAATAAAAGGTATTTCCATCAAATTCAGAGAGTCTTTTTTTTTACTTTGGCAAATATTTTAGGTTGCATTTTTTTTGGGGGGGGGGGGGGTTCAATATGCTGGGAAGAGTCTTGGGTCTATTTTTTTTTGCACTTACCTTGAGAAAGTCCCAACACTTAGTGGTCCGTCCCTCCAACTGAAAGTCATCCCGCCGGATTTGGACACGGTTCCCCTGCGCAACGCTGATGTGCCAAAAGCACCGCTGGTTGTTGGTGTAGCTGGCGCTGCCAAAGTTGGCCGAGCGTACGTAGCTTGTCCAGGATGTCAGGAGGCCATCTTGTCCTGGGCAGGTATTCTGAGCGACTGTCGACAGAGGAAATGTTAATCACAAAGCAAGTTATGATAATGATCATAATTTATACCAGAGGTGTTTATAGGTCTCTTTTGACGTCACTTCCTACAGATCGTCATGGGCATCGGCATTTTGGGGTCCTAAAGGTAAGGATTACCCTAATTTTGGTTATTTATACAAAGGCCTACATTTACATATTTACATAAATGCATTTTAAACATATTTACCTATGGAATGTACATCCCTGTGATGTTATTATTATGATCATCCCAATCAACAGATGTTTTCAAGATGTCGGATTTTAAAATGTATGACAAAAGAAAATCCAAAATAATAATATAAGAAATGTGTCTTTTTGGTTGCACCGTAAGTTTCACACCGTTGTAGAAACTGCAAAATCTTATCTATGACATCTTAACTATAATACTGACGACAGTGGGAGACCAAGAAAATTCACCCTTTTTCAGTCATATTTTCGACTTCTGCAGGTCCGGAAGCATCTGCCTGCATTTGTCATGTTTGTAGTTAGTAACTTAGTAATTAACTGTAAAAAGCCGATTTTTTTTCCTTCATTTTTTGCCTGAATTCCCAGTAAAGCCTTGAATTTCCACATTTTTTCCGCTGCTGGTTAAAGTTCGTGCATCAAAGTATTATGATCCCAATGAAAGTATGTCATTTTTTAGGATGCACGCCTTGCAAAATATAACTTAAAGTTAAAGTTAAAGTTAAAGGCGAGCGCGCAGAAATAGGAGCGCGTAGCAAATAGCCTTGGTCTGACGATATGCAATTTGCTCATATTTGCACATATTTGGTGTAATTTAAGTTCTAAGAAGAGAAAAATGGCCCCTACTTCGCCTTTATCACAACGGAACTAACCTCATCCTTTCCTTCACGAAAAACTACACCATAAAGATGAGTTCCAGTGGCATAATTTCTATGCAAGTTGGGACTAAACGGTGTGAAACTTTTGTCAATATTATCGCTTTGTCGTTATTTCGTAACGGCCATTTGGTGTTGGTTACTTTGTAAATTGTATTTTTTTCTACCAGTAGGCCTACGATTATACGATGGAAAGTTTCGACGCTGTCTTCAAATAGCCGTCTGCTAATTAAAAGTTGGGCAGCGGAAAGTTTAGTCTTGATTCCAGAAGGAAATTGTTTACTCTGTTTGCTATTAATTTATCAACCTTTTTCCAAATTAAATAAAAGTCTCAAATAAATTGGTTTACTTACCAGCTTTATCCCCGAAGCATGCTAGCAGTAGACACAGCGAGAATAAGATAGACCATTTGCGCCTTTCCATTTGTTGATCTGTGAAACGAACCAATGGAACACAGAACTAATTACTTTTAACTAGGAATCCATTTCACTTGGAGACAATTTTCTGAAGCGAAGTTGAACAGCCCTAATTTGGCAACATTGGCCTCCCGTATTGTAGTTAATCCAATTTACGATGCGTGTTCCCAGTACCCACGTCCAAAATTAATTTATGAAGTGCCAAATTTCAACATCTGATAGAAAAAGTTTCTCTCATGGAAGAGATTTTCTAAATCAAGAATGAGAACTAGAACTCCAGGCTCTGTTCTGGGGGAAAAAAGCAGGACTACATTCAGTGTCTACCAACCATAGATATGTAATGAAATGATCAGCTCAAGAGAAAGTACTCACATACTGCGATGAGACCACCGGAGACAGCGCTGGGATGCCCCGGGGCTTTTGCCCCGTTCATCCCTTCCTCCATCCCACGGTAATGCGGCCCCTCGTCGGAACTCCTCCCGGGCAAAAAAATATAGAAACAATTGTATAAATTCTGGTTTGCAGATGAGAGAACTATCAAAATTCTGACGGTGAAGGCACCGCGGGCTATGCCTACTATGACGGATGATGAGATCGTTGAAGAGACAGAGGTTTTTCCCGGCTGTGATTGAGACCACGGGATGCGACCATGACAGCAACAATGGGAGGCAGGGGAGTGGCTTAAGGAGGATGTGCGCACGGGAGAGACCGCGTTTCCGACGGTGGATCGCAGAGTCTGCTAAAACACCTGCTCTCGTTAAAAAAGCTCGTCAATCTGTGAAGTTTGTTGCATCATCAAAACGCAGAATCCTCCAAAGTTTTAGTCCGAAGTTTTAGTTGTAGACTTTTAAATAAATTAAGACTACTATCTGTAAATGGGTATAATTATTTTTCTTTGCACGGCCCAAAAGTAATACCCACTGCGTTCGACAATTTGATGTTATCGAGTATACGCGATATACGGTATGGTGAAAAGTTTAAAAGCGGTGTCAAAACGTTAATTTGCGGTGGTATCGCATTCCGGCTTCTCGTTTTTAAGGTTTATTGAATTTTAAGAACCCCAAAATAATTATGAAGTCGGTGAATTGAAACCTTCATGTCATCCTATGTCGTATCCGGTTCGTAATATGACATCGTCATACACGCGCAGGCACCACTGACTACAACTTACAAGCGCCCATTGGCTAAACACTCAAGATACGTTAATTTCCGGTTCCAATGGTTCCAACGCTCCTTAATGGCAGTGGGCGTGGTTTAAACGGAAGTGACGTCACACTAAACGAATCAAATAACAGACTGATCATTAAAGCCCTGCCCTCTGCCCACGTGGTGAAGCACGTGGGCATCTTCAATGCTACAATGCACGTTCACCAATGGGCGGGGCCCAATGGATCGGTCTATTTTGTGCAGAGGTACTTTCTATGTCTTTTTTCCTTCTTTATCGAACTGATTTTTGATTGTACCAAACAACAAAATGCACATTCAACTGGCTCAAACCAGATTCAAATTAACAAGGATCTCTAACGTGCAATGTAGAGACACCTTGTAACATTCAACTTTAGCAACTTTTGTGAGAATGAAAGAAAAATACATTAAGTGCCCGATGTCCATGTGTGAAGAAAAATGCACGGCACCGAGGACACAAAGCCACCGGTTCCACTTGAAGATGCGTCGGTGGTGTTACGGCCACCTGCCAGCGAGTGCCGCCCGCCGAAGGCTCCCGGGGACCAGAAGAGGAAACGACCGGTGTGCTTGGTTGCCGGGTGACCGGTCGAGAGACGGAAACCCACGGTGACAAGACAGCTGGAACATTGTAGAGTAGGTGCGAAGATTGAAGGTTGGACTACAAAACAAATCATCACTCTTCTCTTATGAAAAGTTATTTGAACTATCGGGTAACAGTTGATTGTGGGGGGGGGGGGGGGTTGAGGGGGAGGGGTAATTTTTCATTTGTATAGAATTTTTGCAAATTCATAGAATGATATAAAAACGAAACAATTCTTGTATGCATTGGAAAAGCTGCTTTATTTAGTAATTAAATATTCATCGAAAAATTATTGCTTTCAATATACAGTAGAACAACATACAAACAAATAGTAACTTTTCAAATTTAATAACTGTGCATATTTCATTGTCTCTGAATTACTGGTCTTTACAGTTTATAAAATTTCATTGGAAAAAGTTGAATCAAAAGTTTAAAATTCTGCTTGGTATAAAAAATGCATCTGTTAGTGAGAAAAGAGTTGTTACAAATATAATGGAAGACTTTTTTTAATGGATATCTGAATAATTTATGAGAGGCTAAGAAGGCTAAGCATTTCACTCGATATGAAAGCATAATAAGCACAAGACAAGTACATTTACAGTTTTTGTACACTGTAGATGGAAAGGGGCGGGGCTGAGTAGGCCACGCCCCTGAATAAAGGACGACATTTACTACTTCACTTGCCATTATGCAGTATGTGAAAAGTACATGTACAGATTTTGTTCATCTGAACACTATAAGACACTCAATTTCGGAAATGGAGTCAGAAAACAGATAAGGGGTCAGGCCACTCTCTTGTCATGATGACCTCTGACACGGAGTCATACAATTTTATAAATATTCATATCATGGTATCACTTCTAAGTTCATCCAATCAGGCTAAAGGGAAGAAAAAATCATAGCTCACAGCAGCCAATGAAATATCGGAACCTGGGAGGCCATTGATGTCTTCATTCGCTGATGAGATGTGACTTATGCCTCTTTTTGAAGGAGCAGTTTGTATACAGTTCTTATTTTCTAATCCCTTTTGTAAACCCATGATGGTTACACACATAAGTTAAGAGCAACACGTGTACACACAAAACCTGACTTCTAAATTAGCATGCAGAAACAGCCAATTACAAAAAGCGAAACAAACAAAAAACATTAATGGAATAATCATACAGAAAATGTGTAATCTTAACAGGCGAACAAGAAAACTTGAAAGCTAAAAAACCCCAAAGATTGTTCATTATCTGCTTAAATACAATTTTTTATAAGACATGTACAAATATGTACAGGTTTACTTTTTACATGGACAAGCAGGGCAATCAAAATGTGTATTTACAAAAAAATACAGAAATACAAATGTAGGCTTTTTAATTGTTTAGTAGCTTTGAGACATAATAAATTTGTTAATAATACACATCATGCTTTCATATAGCTCTCAATGTGTAAAGGCATTTCATCTAAGGTCTATCAATATAAAGTCTCAATGTTCGTGGGAATGCAGAGACCACATCACTAAATATAAATAAAACAAAAAGCAAGTGAAATGAGCAAAGCATCTATGAGCAAATATCACACTTTTGAAGACAAGAAAACATAATTTGCAAAAAGAAGGAAACCCAATTTTGACAGGAATTTTAACCTACTTACTTAACTTATTTGAACTGGTTTTTTTTTTTCATAATGTGCTCTTCAACCATGCATGGTGAAAAAATCTTCGAAAAATCGCCATAATGTTATTATGCTAATTTGAATACAGGTCACCAAAATATCTGTCGTCCACGTGTAAGTCTAGTGTAGTGTTTTTTTGTCTTCAAATCAAGCTCTGGAGCTCAGTCAAGCGGATGGAATAAAGCCGTCCGTGGACAAACAGGTTTGGCACATGTAATTTTTAAACTACCATATCTCAGAGACAAAATATGCTTTGGCGATAGTTTTTTTCGTCACTGATGTTTAAGCTCAATATTTTCTACAAACAAATTGAATTTTTGAAATATGCTCCACAAGTAGGTGAAAAGTGCTGCCAAAAGTGGGTTTCCTTCTTTTTGCACCACCCTGTACGATTTGATATCAAGTTGTGAAAGTGATAACGACTTTTTTTGAGGCAAATTACTTCGGAAGACATACAAGGATATAAAAGATACCCCAGCTTGGTGGAAAATTGCAACCATGCATTATTTAATACAGCTAGGGAATTTGTGGAGCCGTATGGTCTGAGAGGCCCCTAGTGAAATAATCATTCTCAAGTTTGGAGGCCTAATTTCCCCACTAGAGGGCAGCATTTCAAAACGTTGCCTCTGTCACTGGATTATTTCTGAGCCAAAAAAAACAGGCAAAGAAGCAACAAATGAGAGGGACATCACAGAATGCGGGGCACTGGTGGAACATGTGCAGCAGGATTCACGACAAGCACCCAACAGCTCGATTTTTGAGCACAAAAACTGCCAGTTTTTAAAGGATGGTTGTGTGGACGTTTATACCCTACCTTTAAAATGCTCTTTCCAATTAACATCATTTCGTTTCAAATGTGTTTCAACTGGGCCTAATCCAGAACGTAATGTCCCTTTAAATGAATCTTTCTGAGAGAGAAAACTTTTTCCAACCAGAGAACTTAATGAAAGATGTGTACTGAAGGTGATAAAAATGTTGATTTTTTTCTAACATTACTTTACAGGGTGGTGCAAAAAGAAGGAAACCCACTTTTGACCAGGATTTTAACATACTTAGTTAACATATTTGAACGATTTTGTTATAATGTAGTGAAGTATAGCTCTTCAACCAAATGTGATCAAAAAAATCTGTAAAAATATCGCAAGAATAGTGTTGTTATGCTAATTTGAATACATCACCTAAATCACTGTTGGTCACGTGTAAGTCTAGTGTAGTGTTTTTTTGTCTTCAAATCAAGCTCCGGAGCTCAGTCAAGTGGATGGAATAAAGCCGTCCGTGGACAAACAAGTTTGGCACATAAAATTATTAAACTACCATATCTCAGAGACAATATATGCATTTGTAATAATTTTTTTGTCAGTTATGTTAAAAGATCAATATGTTAATACCATTAAGTTAAATTTTTGAAATATGCTCAACAAGTAGGTGAAAATTGCTGTCAAAAGTGGGTTTCCTTCTTTTTGCACCACCTGTAGTAACCATCATTACAAATCTACACAGCAAACAATCCTACATCCATTGTCATATGAACTATGAACATAAGATGGAATATATGTCGCAGAAGTGAAACACAAAGAATATCTGCATAATCACCATGGAACATGGTTCAGTTTGGTGAATATCTGACTGCACAGTCTTATGTGATGATGAGGTAATGTTCCTGAGTGCAATCCACATGATTAGTCAATCTAAATTGCAGCATTGGTCAAAGAATGTAAAATACTGATGGCCCGGGTTTTTTTTTTCTCTTGCCTTCATCGAGGTATGTTTGGGAAGGGAATTGGATTGATTTTGTGTTCTTGGTATTCCTGTCTATCCGTCATACGCAGCTATGGACTCTGCTGGTCTTGCCGACGTCTTTGAGCAATTGGACTGGACAGTGGCACGTCACTACCCCGGCCCCGGCCCGGCACGTACTGATGTCCTTGATTGGCGTCCACCTGGGAGTGAACGGGGAAACACATAACAAATTAAGAGTTTGTGTTTAGCAATTCATTTTATGAGCTTAGCAGCTTTATCCATGATGGGCGAATCTCAATACAGTGCGCCACCAAGAGGTTGCAATGGAGAGTTCCTTTTTCGCAGTGCATTGTGGGGCTATCACTGCGTTGCATATCTAATTAGCAATGCTTGATCACCGCACGTAGTGCGTTTGTTTCCAACCGTCGCGGGAGCGCACGCGACTGACTATAAACCATTTCACAATCGTTGATTGGTTCCTTAGGAAAACCCAGGGAAAAAATGATGAACAACTTAAAAGGCTACTGCAGATTTCCGGAGACGTTGGTGCGAGCAGGCGCGCTGGTCTAATCAGGCCGTTAGATATGCACGATCCATTATTGATCACTAGCGTCTCGGGCCAAGACTAATTCCTGCACAACTTTTGGAGGACTCAGGAATGATTCTAGCAGAGAGATAAGGTACATCAAAGTGACTGAGTTTAAAGTTCAAACAGTTGCACCTACTTTTCTGTGACTGGGTCGTAGCACTCTCCGGACATGAGATATGAGGATCCATTGTGGCCTCCTATGGCGTAGATCTTCCCGCTGATGACAGAGACCCCAACGCCGCCGCGACACATGGACATTGGCTTGATGCTGGTCCAGGCTTTGGTCCGAGGGTCGTACCGCTCCACGGAGTTCAGTGGGGAGCTGTCGTCAAACCCACCTGGGGAAGGGAACAAGAGTACGGTTTATAATTGCGCTATCATGTTATGGACCAAGGTTGTGCTGGCTTGTGACCCTGCCCAGACACTGACCAGAGAGGTCAAAGGTACTGACCTATGACATAGAGGTAGCCGTTGAGGGCCAGCACACCCCCTCCTGCTCGTCTGGTCTGCATTGCGGCAATCATGGTCCACTTGTTGAGGTGAGGGTCGTATCGCTCGCAGGTGTTCAGAGTGGTGGAGCCATCGTTGCCACCGACTGTTGAGAAGACCAAGATTTTATAAATGTGTTAGGAGTTGAAAATACACGTTAGTAAACTTGATAGAAAATGATACTTTGACAAACAGTTGGTGTTGGGGGTTTGACAAAGGTATCTGCTGTCAAATGATGGAAAGTCAATAAAAAGGTGAACAAATGAATTGAGAAGCTTTGATGTTTTGAAACACATCTCTGCTTAACTCAGAATGCTGAGCTAATACCAGGAACACGGCATTTGTGCCCTTGGGCAAGACACTGAACTACAATTGCCTCTCTCCATCCAGGAGTATGAATGGTCTAGAATGCTCCATTGGGCCATACAGTCCTCTCCCCGCCTCATTTTGACTAACCTGCATAGATGTGGTCGTTCAGCGTCTCCACTGCCACGCCCCCCCTAGCCATAATCATGGGGGCAGCATAGCTCCAGCTATCGCTGGCTATGTCGTACCGCTCCACCTCACTGAAGCAAGTGTTGTCATCTAGACCCCCGATGGCGTAGAGTGGGCCGCCGAGCTGGGTAACGGCCAAACCTCGCCTGAAGGGAAAACCAATGAAAAATGACAGCTGGTATCTAGACTGTGGTACCTATAATGTTGAGGAAGGCTATGTCCGAATGACTTATCTACGGCTGGAAATTACACACGCCTATGGAGTTGGCTGCAACAATACCGGTGCAACAATATTCGCTATAAAATACAAAACCTCAGAATTCATCCATTTCTGAAAATTACAGCACAAGTAAATGTTGCAAAGCACACAATACAAAGATGATCAATCTGCAATGGAAGAGACAAGTAACCTTTTTGTTTTCATCGGTGATACCAGCGTCCATTTATTTGTTTTGGGCTCGAAAACCTCCATGCTGTTGAGATGGTCTTTGCCGTCGTGTCCCCCTGCAGCATACACCTTGCCTGTACGCAAAAAAAGGTTACAAATTAAGCTATGAAGAAAAATTCCACAACGCCCACACAGTCACACAATATGAAAATGTATCTTAATAAAAGTAATCAAGAGAGGGCGCCCTTTGTCTGGACCATACAAGTGAGTTTTCATCTTGCATAAAAAAATTTACATTCTCTGTCCGTGCATCAAGACCACTTTCTTATTCTTCAGTGTGAATGTGTCTCGTCTTTAAAATTCAAAACCCTAACCTCAATCCTCCAAATCCTACTGGTGGTTTTGGAGGATTGAGGATGAATGCATTTTGAGAGGCAGGACTGTCTGACGATTTTGAAGAATTGAGGCGCTGGGTATCCTTCATTTGAACATAGGTGCAACATTTTAGAGGATTTTGGAGGATTGTGGATGTTTTCTCGCAATATTTCCAGTTCTTTTTTTAGAATTTCAGTGAGAATTTGGGACACTGACATTTGAACACACCAATTCTGTCAACTGAGCCGTCAATGCAGCAGAACAATCACAACTCTAAGACATAACTTTGGAAATGAACAATCAATCAAACAAACGAACAAGCAAACAAACCATCAACAATGTTATAAATGTTACCTCCAGCAGACAGCACGCCCACATGCCTTCTCTTGTAGTTCAGCTCAGCCACATGGAACCAGCGATTATTGCGCAGGTCGTAGCACTCGATAGACTTGAACGGGTCCCCCGATGCACCACGACCGCCAACCACAAACAGCACACCTGGTGTAGGACAAGAAAAGAGAGAGATAGAGGGACTGGTTCAAATCTACCGCACTGAGTTCACAAGTAGGCTATATATGTAGGTGAAACTTTTTTTTCTTGCAGACAACATTGGGAATAATGTTATTCTGGGAATGTGACTTCATGATCTGATACACCGTGCCCTCTGGAGACATGCACACAATAGGGAACAAAAGATTGTATACGTCTCCACAGGGCAATTTCTATATAGATGAATACGTCTCCACAAGGTTTTCACGAAATAGATATATGGATTTTACTCAAAAACCAGCAATTTCCATGGTATGTTGATCCGTCGCAAATGGTAGAGTTTTAGAAAAGGGATATTAAGTCCGAATTTCAGCCAAGGAAATTAATTCTGGTTGAAATAAGAGCACTTGAAACTACACTTTCAAACTCGAAAACTTTACTACACGGGAACAAAGAAATGTCTCCACAAGGATACAAATTTCAGTATGTGTGTGTGTCTCTGTTTACAATGAATAATGTGACTTGTCAAAGTGGCAAGGTTGAAAGTGTTTGTTCTTTTAATTGTTAGTTCTTTGTTGCATTTTTTTTATGGCAGTGTTATCAATGCAGATCTATATATTCATCATTTGATTGCAAATTTCATTAATAATTTAAGAGTGAGGGTTAGGCCAATAAGAAACGCCTACCTAATTATTAAAAAACAAGTGCATGTGCACAACAAGCTCTGGTCGTGTTGCAAGAAGTCTTGCATGAAAGTCGAGCATGAAAGTCGAGCATGAATTCGATCAAAATTATCCCTGCCAGCTAGAGCTGAAAAATGCGACGCCGAAAAATGCGACGCCGACGGCACATAGGGAACACCATACTTTTGGTCAATTTTCGGGGACAGACAGACAGACCGACTGACCACCAGGTGACATGTAGATCAGCTCCTAGCTGTCACAGTTTGAAAAGGGAATTGGTGCCATTGTTGTTGCTCTCAACTTAGGGGGAAAAACACCAAACATCTGAGTTGAATAAGAAATCTGTTGCCCAGTTAGATTTGCATTCACCGAACGAAAGGGCACTCATGAGAGCCACAAGTCTATGTAAACTGCCGACTAACTGTCTGACCCCATTAGCAGCACGCCTCAAAACTGACATGAATAGAAAGCTACAGAATGACAGAAGTGCGTGGCATGGGCCATTATTATCAATTCATAGGGGGTTGGCAAGCTCAAAAATGATGGAATGCACAGGCTGACAAAGAAAAAGTTTAAAGGGAATATACACCATTTGCTTTTGCTGTAATTTTCAGAAGAGAAGGGATTTGGGGGTAAGTATTTTATAGCAAATATTGTTACAAGCCCTTGCCAAGACTACTTAGCGGACGTGATTGATTGTATCTAACAATAAAACTAAACAAACAGTTTATTTTAGAAAACTGCTGATTTGGCTTTAACCTTTCAAAAAAATGAGACCGACAATTTTCTCCCAATTAGTTCTGTTTAATCCAATCTTCTCTGTATTTCTTGCAGATATAGTAGCCCATAAAGTCTCAAGGATAGCTTTAAATCATCATCATCAAACTAGACGCTTCTTAAGGCTAGGACTGGGGTTATATTCGCCTCCCCCTTGGGCGAGGCTGCAGTGGCCCAGAACCTTGAACCAAGGGGTGCATGGTGGGGTCAAGCCAGCCGCAGCCCACGCACTGACCTAGCTGGTTTTTAAGTGCCTAGGTACAGATGAAACTATAAAACCAACTTGGAAAAAAAAATCATGCCTGGATGCAAGAAGACAACATGTATACAAGATTTTTGCCCCACGATTTTACAGAAACAGTGGAATGCTATACCGAACACCGTTATACCAAACATCGTCCTTGGCTCCCGATTTTTGTGTACAAAATGCACTGAACATTGTTGTTGAAAAATGTCAACAGAAGAGCGACAAGTGGCTTTTATTTGCCCCAAGGAATAGAAGGGGAAAGCCACCCATTAACTTCCAGTAACTACCAGGGTGTGCAGGGTGAAGTTCTGAAGGGCGTTTTTGTATTAAAAAGTGAGTACCGGAGCACCAGCAGCTTAAAATCGCTATACCGATTGATCGCTATTACAAACAATTTCTGTGGATCCTGCGATGTTCATAATAGCGGCATTCCACTGTACTGGACAGATTGTATTAATTTTGAACAGAAGTTCAGCTGAACAGCCAAAGATCTCCGATCCCCAAATTGTGTAGACATGGAGTCGCTACCTCAATCTTGCAGATTGTCCGAGAGCACATAATTATTTGACCACTTGATGTTTGGTCTAGTAATTTAACTTTCTATACATCCAACATCCTCAAGCACTAGAGACTACCGGGACCGAAGAATCAAAGCCCATGGGCACTGCCTTTAAGGTCATGTCTCCAGCCTCTGGCCACATTACTTAGCTACCGCTGGCAATTATACAAGTACCGGTAGGCACCTTGGGGTAGTTGCTTAAGCCAAGTACATGTGTATAGGTAATTCAAACATAGCCTAGTCTAGGAACTGCCCTTGTCCTCATGGCTGGTAACCTGTGACCTCCCCCAATGCCAACAACCTCCCCTTAGCAGGACACCCCCATGGGGCAGTTGGGATTATTTTACAACATTTCTAATTCACTGTAATTAATAAGTAATGGTTAAGACCATCATGTCTGGAGCCTTAATGAGAAGAACATGTGTGACCTTGCAAGGGGGAGGCCAAACGTTTTGTGAATGAAGAAGGACTTCATCTTGGATTGCAAAAGTGCTTGTCCAGGCCTCCATGGTCCTACCAAGGCTTACAAAATTGAAAAGCAAAAGGGGAAACAAGCACGTTGGAGGGGGGGGGGGGGAGGGGGGCTGGAAGTTAGTCTGAAAATGAACTTGGTCAAACAATAATGGATATTTTTTAGCAAAATGTGGGATTTTTTTTCAACATTAATACAATCATAGCAAAGTACCGGTATTTCATAAAATCCAGACAATGCAAGGAATAATAGGTAGTTTCATTTTTGTAATTTCGAGCCCCAGAATCTGCTAGACATTTTAAACTTTCTATCTGGCAAACTGCCCATCTTAATTTGATTTTTTTTCATCCATGAGGTGGATGGTATTGTCTCAAGATTAAATACTAGATTTTTTAGTGTATGGGTCATGTTAGTACGCAAATTCACTAAACACTCCTTATCTCCTACTAGTAGGACACATGCAGGTATGGAATACGAGAGAGTCACTTGACATTCAACTTCCTGGGTCCATACCACCAGTAGCTGAAAGGCCTCAATGAACGTGTTATAAATCAAATCTTGTACAAGACCAGCCTCCCTTGTGTGTCTGGTCATATAATTCAATAAATGAGTAAATGTGTGCCCACCGTGATACACATTATATAGCTGTCCTGAACAACTTGACAATGCAGCGTGTCTGTCTGTTATTCTCTGTGGGTCTGGCCGTATGGTATAGATGATAGGACTTTGCAGTTACAGAATAAAAACATGTGTTCCTCACCCAAAAGTCATAAATATGTTTCAGTCTTTCATTTTTGTGAAAGAGCCAGTGAAGAATTTTTACATTCTATAAAGTAAAAAAAAAGAAAGTCTGTCACGAGCCAATGTGGCCCATCAGGCCGGCGTTTATCTCCGGTTTCAGTGGCATGAAACAACAGAGACTATTTCTTTTCCCCCTGGATGGGATGCTAGTCCATCGCAGGTTACTATACTCCTGGGAAGAGAGGGGCAAATGGGGATGAAGTGGCTTGCCCAAGGACACAACATCTGGCCAGCAGCTGGATTCGAACCCCTGAGCCTCCGATCATGAGTCACGAACCATAACCACTAGGCCACACTCCCCACATGTACTTTATAGAGTGAGAAATGCATTTAAGATGGACGATTCCTTATACAGTTAGCCACCAACAAGTTGCCACAGAGAGTCCACTTTTCAAGTTTACGGTCGACAAAACATGGCCGACTTGCCCCGATTTTGAATGAACATCAGTCGACAACTTGAGGACATATTTTTGGATAGATCGAGGCAAGGCATTCCTTTGCCTCACAAGAAACACCATATCTTGACGAAAAAAAACTCCAAACCCCTAAAACACAAAACAACCCTTGAACGACAGCTGGTTTGCATACAAACAAATGTCTTGTACATAGCATTTTAAAACTTTCCCCTGGTTTAATAAAAACTGAGTCTCTCTTGAACAATTGCCAAAAATGTCACTCTGGGCCCCCTCAAGTGAAATGTTTTTAATCTTCTTTTTGTTTTAGAGGAAAGGTCAGAAATGCTATTAAACTAAGAAATAATCAAATTATCGAGCCTTTAGCCTGAGGCGGTTACATTTGGCATTGTCCCTGACAGAAGAAAAAAATCACAGAACTCTAAAAAACATGAGTTTGATGGAAAGTTTGCGTCCCTCGGAGACTATGATGCACCGGTCAACTGACGACCCCCCTAAAAACAATGACAAGGGTTGGATGGCGCTCCAGGCTACAAGACATCAGAAGTCAATTCTCCTCAAGTTCTCAAGGTAGGGGTCTCACAGCTTAGGGCAACTCGACTCCCCAATGCTTGGAAAGTTTTCAGCTTTGGTGGTTAAATTTAGAAAACAATTCCTCAGTGATTTTGTTCACAGGTATATTTTGACGTTTGCCTTTGCACTCACCTTAAAAAACAATGGTCGCAAAAATCCTGAAGTGGTAACTAAATCTCCAGATGTCATTTCCATTCTCTTTCAACCATTTTTTTTATTCTTCAAACAAGGCGGGACATTTCAATTTAGGCTGTTCAATTGTTTGGTTTTTTTTTTAAATCTGACAGGGCTATTATAAAAAATTATGTATTTCTGTCACTGAAATTTGTCATGTTTTTGCTTTTGACACTTGTTGCAATGAGTGTTTGTTCTGCCTTTCAAACAATGGTTACAAAAAAAAAATCAAGATTTATTCTGGGGAAAACAGAAAGTGAAATATAAAAACAAAAATCTGATTCCGTTTACAAGCTCATGCCAATTAGCC